ATTATTTAGTAAATGTAATTGATTAAATAATAGAAAATGTGACAAGCAATCACTCACCAAAAATGAAGTATGGGCACTATACACCCTTAGATGATGAGTCACACTCATCCATTATATACATACATATATATATATATATTAAATTATATTAAATTAATCCGATGCCAAATCGACATTGAAATGTCACATATATAATTTTTATATTTTATTTTATTTTAAACGTTCCATAGAAAAAATATTACTATAATTTAGAATTTTTATTATTTTAAAAATACTAAAACACATTGGGTGAGGGTGGGTTGTTTTTATATTTTGGATGTTTTTAGTTTTGTTATGTTTACAATGAAATAATTGCTAGACGTTATATTATATATAATATTTTTTATTGAAAAAAATTGTATTTTATAATTTTGATATAATTTTTTGTCATTCTGTTTCAATACAATAGTTTTGTTTACTATTTTTGTCCGTCCCAAAACAATAGTTTTATTTCCATAAATATTCGTATCACCATATAATTATCCATATTTTTTCATTATTATTATATAAATGTCACTGCTTTTTACACTAATATACTCACAAGGACAATAAATTTTTTTACTCATACTTTCTACCAATTATCAATATAATATCAATATTCTTTAAATCTCATGCCTAATTTAAATAAGACCATAGTTTTAGGACCGATGGAGTATTTCTTACATCATATAACATATAGACTCATTTGATTTGAGTGTCGGTTTTAACAGTGTTATTTGTTGTCATTTTGGGTAAGAAAAGTAAAATTAAAAAATCTATATGTAACACAACAACTTTTTTTTTTATAAGACAAATGGATCTATCTTTTGATTAGAGAAAAATTTTAAAAATAATAAATCTATTATTTTAATAATTAAATATATTATTTATAAATGGTATAATATGTAGCTGGAGTAGCTCAGTTGGTTAGAGCGTGTGGCTGTTAACCACAAGGTCGAAGGTTCAAGCCCTTCCTCTAGCGTTTTCAATTTTAATTTTTTTTTTTTTTTTTTTTTTTTTTTTTCAAATTCAATGATGGCGTTAATGAACCTAGCATTCAAATGACCGTGTAATAAATGCAACGTCATTACTGATCAGGACGCGCGCATGCATCGCACGTGACCTGACATTAATTAATTTGTTTTCCTTTTGTCATTATTTATTTATTACAAACATGCACTTCAAAATTTGATGAGATTGTGGAAGTCAAGTGTCATTTGAAATTGAAATCTTTAAAATATTTATAGATAATTTGAATATATTAAAATAATTATTTCCAACTAAAAGCATATGTTATTTGTTGAATACACCTATAATATTTTTATTTTACAAATATTATATCTAAATCATCATTCAATCCAAAAATCAAAACTAAAATAGTTATAAAAAAATCACCAATTAATCTAACTACACAAGGTTCTCTTCTTTTATAGTTTATTTATTTTTATTTTTTATTTTTTTATTTTTTATATACAACATCATATCTAAACTCGTGTGTTTGTTTGATTCTTTTATTTTATTTGAGTTAACTTTTTATATTCCCTCTCTCCATTAAAAATAGCTCATTTGGGTCCGGCACGAAATTTAAGAAAAATGAATATTTTATTAAAAAAATGATAGGTAGTTGAAGATATTTTTGAAAATTTAGTTAGAAATAAAAATAAATGAAGAGAGATAAATAAATGTTGAAGGAAATACAATAATTAAATGTTGATTTTTTGACTTTGCCAAAATTAATAATTTGATAAATTTAGCTGATAAACTAAAAGAAAAGTGCAAATAAATTTGGCGGATAGATGAAGTATTAGATATGACAAAATATATTTTAATATAAAATAAGTATTATATATTGAATGAAATATGCATATTAAATATATTGAGTGAGTATATATGTATATTATATACTCCCTCCATCCCACATTGGATATCTGGGTCACTGTAGACATGAGAATTTAGGATAAATATAATTAGTAGATAATTAAAAATGTATTAATGAAAATAATTATTCTATAATATAAATAATTATAAATTAAAGTTAAGATAACTAATTACTTTAATTAAAAAATAAATTTAAATTAAAAAGTTTAAAATGAGATTAAAGTGTATAATATTTTTTTAAAAAAAAAAGGAAAGTGACATGGAATGTGAGATGAACAAAAACATCAATGTAGACATGGTAGGTCAAAATTTTCTGTTGGATGAACATATTACCAAAAATCAAAAACTAAAATAAGATAAAACATTGGTTTGTTTATTTAGTACTCTCTCCGTTCCACTTATAATGTCCATTTTCCATTTTTCTTTTATTCTACTTATTTTGTTACTTTTATTTTTTGGAAAAGAACGATATATTACAATCTCATTTTAAAGTTTTTAATACATAGTAATAAACTAAAAAAATTAATGTCTGTTTGTATTGAAATCAAATTAACTAATGAAAATAATAGTATATTAAATTAAACTACAAATACAAAGGTCACATATGTCCCATTGGTTGGCACATGTATTTTTAATATTATTCTTTACTGCCATTTATATTATGGGCTTTATTTACTTTTGCAATATACATTTGTTGTTAAAAAAAAATTAAAAATTAAAAATTAAAAAAATTTCACCTTTAAATACTCCCTTCGTCCCATATATTTTGAGTGTATTACTGTAAATACGAGAATTTAGGTAAAGTATAATTAGTATGTAATTAAGAAGTATATTAGTAGAAATAATTATTATTTAGTAAAAATAATTATAAATTAAGATTAAGATAAGTAAATAGTTTAATTAAGATTTAAAAAATTATAAAATTTAAAACTTAAAATGTGATTAAAGTATAATCATATTTCCAAAAAAAAAAATGACAAGTTACGTGGGATGGACGAAAATAGAAAATAAGAACACATTATGCGGGATGGAAGAAATATAATTTTTCATGAAGAAAACACATTCAAAAGAACAAATCAAGTACTTCCTAATCATCAATATGAGCTCAAATTTTTAAGTATAAATTTTAACAAAATTAAGTAATAATTGTTACTTTTTATATCTTATAATAAAAAAATCCAAAAAAAAAAATTGATATGGATTTTTTTGTTTAAAAAAACGAAAATATTTTTTTATTACAATAAAAAAAGAATTGAGGATAGATTTAGAGAGTTCAATTTTAAACTTTGTATTTTATGTTTTTACACACTGTAATTAGAAAAAAAAAAAAAAAAAAAAACTTGTGAAAAATTTAAAAAAAAATGTATATATTTTTTCTATTTAAAAATAAAATATAAAACAACTCAAATAATATTAAGAGTGACCAATCGTTTGGGTGTGTTTGTTTGGGGATTTGAATTTTGAGTTGGGATTTGAATAGTAAATATTTTGAATTTGAATAGGTGTATGATATGATATAAATAAGTGTTGATGTGATGTTTTGAATGTAAAAAAATTGATTTTTAATATAATATAAAAAAATAAAAAATAGGTGTTTAATTTGATATTTTTTGAAAAAATATTTTGAATAAACAGTAGGATTTTGTCTAAATCCTACAAACGAACACACTTGGTTTGTTCCCCCAAAAATTGAATTGGTGTGTTTACGTTCCTATTTTATTGGGCCCAAATTATTAGGAGTTAATTTCTCTTAGGCCCATTATCCAATGTAAATTTTAATCCATTTATACCCAAATTATATAAAAAATAATACTCACTCAAACATGGTTCAATGTTTGTTTCGGGCACAAAAGTTTAGATGAGTAGTATTAAATAAAATAATTTGATAATTATTTAATATGATGAGAGAAAAAAATTATATTTATTTCGGTGATGTGATGAGATAAAGTGTGAAGCAGATATTCTTCCGTTTCAATATAAAATATTTTTTCTATTATTATTTTCGGTCGTTTCACTTTAAAATATTATTTTTTATTTTAATAAAAATAATAATAAATTAATATCAAAATCTCCTTAACTGTTTACCTAAATTATAAAAATACTTATGACATATACAATTAATTTATATATAAAGTAAATGACAAAAATGTTAAAAATTTTTATACACTTTTATTAACCAATAATATATATATTTAATTTACTACGAAATTCCAAAAATCGTTTTGAAATATGGAAAGTAATATTTTAAGATAGAAGTATTATATGTAAAAAGTAATATAAAGTGTGAATTATGAAAAAGTAATTAAAAAATTAATAAAAACAAAAACAAAGCAATAAATAAAAAATAATGATAAATTAATTATTAATATAAAAATAATAAAATTTTGGATGTATAAAAGAATTTAATAGACAGAGTATGCATTATTTTAGTGGACAATTTTTTTAAAAAAAAAAATTAATATAATTATTTCGAATAGAGAAAGTACAATTTATTACTAAAATAATTATAGCATAAAAATTATATATGATTAATAATAAACATTTAACGAGTAATTAATATCAGATACTGTATAGTGTTGTCTTGTGACCTTTCCAATTATTGGATTTTCGGCAAAGATTCCCCAGTCCACGGACCTTAGATCCCGGTACGCTACAATGAACCTGACACTCCGACCCGGTGGGGCCCATTCATATGCGGTGCGTATCTATCAGGACCCCAACTCCCTGGACCCACAAACGTTGACGTAAAATCTCATCATCTTGTAATAATAATGATCAAGATTAGCTTCTTTATTTTTTATCTTTCTCTCTTCAATTCATGATTAGTTCTTCACTCCATTTCTCACTCTAAACTCATTCAATTAAGACCCAAAAATTCAATCACCAAATTCGAATGCACGTTCTACGTAATTCATCATCGTCTTCATCATCATTTTCTTCTTCTTCTTCGTTAGGGTTTTCTGCAGATGAAAGGTAACTATCGATCTGTTCTTGATTAATTATTTTTATTTAAATTAATTAATTCGTTTTCCGATCCTTATCAACTCTCAATTTACTCACCCACCACTTCGATTTATCTCCTGAATTATCGATCAATCCATCGATGGTTGGATTCTAATTACACCTTCTCTCTCTCTACATCTCTCTCTCTTGATTTGATTTTGCTTCCTTAATTGTGAATTAATCATCATCATTTATTATTTCCATTTTCGATCAACTGTTCTTTCAATTTCTCTCCCAAAGTTTTTATGGCATTCGATACTTTGCTCTTTAGTTTCTGTCGCACTGTTTCTGCCTATCTTTTTCTACCCTTTTTCAGATTCTTCTTCTCCATTTCCAGGTCTGGAATTATTATTATTATTATTATTAAAAATAAAAAATAATAATTGTTTTTTGTTCGATCGACTGATTTTGTTTTTGCTGAGGTTAATTATGTATATATATATATATATATATGCAGGGTGAGAAGAAATGTCGATTGGGAATCAGTTCCTCCAGAAGCTTCTAATAAATCAGAAATTACAGAATTATTGACAAGGAAATTTAAGTTTCCGACATTCGAAGAATTCAGGAGAATCCAGCCTGGAAGAACTGTCAATAATTCCCTTGATGAAGAATTTCTGCTAAAAACAATTTCTGCTTCCAGGGCCGCCATTGATGAACCTGCAAAAAATGGAAGAAAACCCCTATCTAAAATGGCCGATGAGGAATTTCCAGGAATCCAGGCCTGTCCCGACGAGCCATCCATGTCATCTTCAGACAAGAACATCGAATCCAGGGATTGGAAATCGAAGAAATCTTTACCAGGCTTCGAGGAAAACGAGGAAGATTCCAACGGCTATAAAACAGGGAAATCATCCATGGAAGAAACGACGACAGAATTGGAGACATTGTGGGAGCATCAAGAACTGATCGAACAGTTGAAAATGGAGCTTAGGAAAGTCAGAGCCACAGGGCTTCCGACAATTCTCGAAGAATCCGATTCGTCGCCGAGGGCAATAACCGGCGTGGCATTGAAGCCGTGGAAAATCGAGGATGAAAGCTTTAAGTACGAGGATTGCGTTGACGAGGTCGAAAAGTTCTACAAAGCTTACATCGAGACGATGCGTAAATTCGACATCCTCAACTACCAAAAGATGTACGCCATCGGTTAGTCTTTTGAATTCGGACATCATCGTATTGCTCGTGTCTCTTTGCTAACGCTTCGTTTGGACATATCCCAATTTCGAAACATTCCATTGTTTTAGTCCCATTATTATCTATTTGTCATTGTTCATGTGCAAAATTCGTATGCAACGTAAATACACCTTGCGTACTTAAGGGGACGTATTAGCTAACCATATTAATCAATAAATTACTCCTTCCGTCCCGTTGAAAGATTGTCATTTTTTATTTTTGTTCGTCTACAATTTTTTAATTTAGTAATCGTATTATATACATAATATGATAAATATCTTTCCGATTTACAATATATTATCAAATATCATTACTTTTATTATATTACAGATACTAATAGTGATATTTTTGTTATTTTTACTACAACCCAATATAATACTAATATTAAAATATCTACGTACAAAAAGTAAACAACAACTTTTCAATGGGACAGAGGAAGTGTATATATTCATTTAAGCTTAATTCTTTTAGCTGAGATAGTCATTTAATAGTACTAATTGTTGTTATTACATCGCTATCAAATGTAGGTTTTCTTCAACTCAAAGATCCTTTTCGACCCTCGGTTCAACAAAAAGGGTCGCCCTCGACGCTCAAATCCTTCGTATCTAAGAATCTTTGGATTTTTAAGCACAAGCAACAGGGGCATAACCCCGACCCCGCGGGGGCATTTGTCGGGGAATTGCAAGAAGACCTCGAGGTCGTGTATGTCGGGCAAGTGTGTCTATCGTGGGAATTCTTGCGATGGCAATACATGAAGGTCGTAGACTTATGGAATGTCGATCCCCACGGGATTCGACAATACAATGAGGTTGCTGGCGAGCTTCAGCGGTTTCAAGTGCTCGTGCAACGGTTCGTGGAAGACGAACCGTTCCAAGGGCCGCGGGTTCAAAGTTATGTTAAAAGTCGATGTGTGCTTCGCAACCTTCTTCAAGTTCCCGCCATAAGAGGTGACTTCGAATTCTACCGTTATATATTTGGTTTCTGGTACCGTTTGTTAGAATATATACTTCATCTGTCAACTAACAATATATATATATTTTGTTATATATGAGGGTGATAAACAATAGGTAATTTTTTTTATTTTGTTATTTGGTAAATATGACTCTACAAATATTAGTAATAAGATATTCTATTGAATTGATCATTTCATATAAAAATATCAAATACTTATTTCAAAATAAATCTATTTTAAAATAGTAATTTGAATATAATGCTCTATAAATAAAAATATTGTATTTTCATAGGAATTACATAATAAAAAAGTTAAAAGACTTTAAAAAGGAACATGCTTTTGTCTCTACATACTTGCATATTGTTTATCATACATTCCTTAATTAATATGCAAATATTAAATATATACACATATATAACTAATAGAGCCAAAGGAATATATATTTTTTAAGTTAAATTATTCATTCCGACAGATGTTTTAAATGAAAAATAGTTAGCTGATATGATATTCTTTCTAAAAAAAGAATTTTGTACGATCACTTTATAAGCCCTTGATATTTGATCGTAAACTTGTTACACATCGAATCTGGTTTAAAACAAACTTGAACCCTTTTATAGAAGACAATCCAAAGGACAAGAACATGGACAATACAAGTGTTCATACCAACAACCGCGACGAGTACTTCGTCACGACCGAAATGCTTGTGGAGATCGTAGAGGAGTCGATTCGGACGCTATGGGTATTTGTCCGAACCGACAAAGATTGCAACACTCTACCAACCAATGGCCGCAAGAAAAAAACCACGGCGAAACTCCACAATCCTCAGGACCACAAATTACTATCCGAAGTTGAGAAAAATCTTCGAAAGGTTTTGGTTCTTTACATTTGTAAGAATAGTTTCATTTGATTTTGTAAAAACCCTAATCGAAAACCCTTAAATTATATATATATATATATCCAATTTATTTTTCACTCTTGATTTGATGTTTTTGCAGAAAGAAAGAAAGTTGAAGGACATTGTGAGGAGTGAGAAGTGCATTTTGAGAAGATTACAATATTCAGACATTAGAGAGGATGGAGGTGGTCGTGATTCCAACCAAGTTCTTAATTTGTTCTTTGCAGAGGTAGAAATGAAGTTAGTTTGTAGGGTTTTGAACATGTCGAAAATATCGAGAGATCAGCTCATTTGGTGCCGGAATAAACTTAGAGCGATCACCTTTGTGAGTCGGAAAATATACATAGAACCGGGGTTTCTGTTGTTCCCGCAACCTTAGTATGGTATGGTTTAAATATTTGTAATAAATGATCGGTGTCATATTAATTGTTAGAGAATATGATCGACTATGTTATATGATCGTAAATTGACTATAAATATCAATATAAATATATAGTTCGTACAACTTATGAGATAACATAAATATAATAATAGTCTACACAATATATACAACACATATAACCCTTATAAACATTAACAACACCAACAATGATTCAATATATCTATTTATTTTTTAAACTTAATTTATAATTTAGTATTATATATAACATATGGGTGAGTGGACAATTCTATTCTTGATTGAGTAAAAAAAAAAAAATAGTGATTACATTGTGGTTATAATAATAATTAAAATATAGTTATTGAAAAATAAAAATAGTTGATTTCGAACATATCAAAATAATGAATAAATTGATTCTAAATGAAAAGAGTATTACCATTGAAAAAAATAAAAAATAAATAAATAACCCTTTAATAAGAGTAAGATAATAAAATGCAAGTATTTCATCAAGATCAAATGAGCAATGTAATAAAATTAAATTTCTAATATTATTTCCACAACTTAAAGAAGAAGACGATGAGATTTCTGAAAGATGAGTTTTGCCTGTATTATTATTATTATTATTATTGAACCTGCTTGTTTTGTGTTACCTAAATTACACGATTCTTGGCTAGCTGGCACATAAACTATAGTCCAAATTCACATCAATTTCATGACAGATAATCTAAATAATAATAATTTTGATGTTTGATTAAATATGGGTTTCTTGCAAACTTACAAGAAAATGACAACTCAACAAAAATATACTTTTGTCTTGAACCCAAAAAAATTAAAGTAAAAATTGTCAAGAGTGGGATTTGAACCCACGCCCTTTCGGACCAGTACCTGAAACTGGCGCCTTAGACCGCTCGGCCATCTTGACGTTTATTGTTTAAAATAAACCTAATAAAAAATTTTAAAGTATTAAAATTTAAGAACTGATAGCTGGCGCCTGGCTGTGACCGTTGCCGCCTTGATACCTTTTTTTTCATTTTTTCTTAAATTTGAATTTGCGGGTACGGGTCGGATCCTAATTGGGCATTTCTAATTCGGCCCATTTGATTTATCTTTTGCAGCTGTTGGAGCGCAAATTGATTAGTTAACAGCAGGATTAGGCCCAATTGAGTCCAACTTTTGAAAAATATTATATTCAATCCAATAATTATTTCGAGTAATACCTTCAATTTTATAAATAAAAACATATCATATTAATGTTAAAAATTAAAAAAGAAACATCATACTTGCCAATTATTAAAATATTAATATACTTAAATTCATGTACAAAAGTTAACCGGATGCATTCGGACTAAAAGATTATAATATACTTCCTATGTTTCATAATTATGTATTTATTTGTTTTTTTACAGAGTTTTAGAAATATTAGTAGTATTATATTGAAATATAGTAGAAATAAAATAAAAATGACTAAAATAACCTTATTAATATTGTGTGATGTAAAAGTAATGACATTTGTGTAATAATATATTGTAAGTTATAAGGGTATTTATAATGTTAGGGAGATAGTACAGTTATTTAAAAAAAATGAATACTTTGTTATGGGACGGAGGAAGTATTTATATTATACTCTCTCCGTTATTCAAATCTATGCTCATTTTCTTTTTTGAGTTGTTATTGAAAAATATTCTCGTTTCTCTTTTAAGTAAAAATTTATTATATTTTTGTATTTTTTTTTTACTATAAAAAGAAAAATAATTATTATTACTCATTTTTATTAAAATTTGTGTTCGGTTAAATGAACACATGTTTGCATGACGGATGAAGTATTTACATATTGTATTTATATCATATGTTATTAATTTATGCCCTTTATATAATTTAAATTTATGTTTTTTTTATCGGAAAAATATTCTCAATTTTCTTTACTAAAAAATTTTAAATTTTTTTACTATAAAAGAATTTCTTTTTTTTTTTTTTATCTACTTTCTTATTTATGTCCAATTAAATGAACATAAATTTTGATAACGGAAGTAGTATGTTGCTTCCATCTTATTTTTTCGTCTGTCTCACTTTATTTGTTTTTTTTTCTTTGAAAAATATTATTATACGTTTTAATTATATATTAAATTGTATAATTTATCATTTTTAAAATCTTAATTATATTGTTTAATTATCTTACTTTTAATTTACAATTCATTTTATTGTACAATAATATTGTTTACTAGTATATTTATTAATTACATTTTTAACTAAATCCTCGTACCTACGTTAAATCGAACACATAAATGGAACGGAAAAAATATTGCTCATTTCGTCTGTCTCTAATGGTCACATTTACCTTTTGTATCGTTATATTTAACATTAAAAATATTATTTTATTAGTATTATAATATACTAATTAAATTATTTTTAAAATTTTTTTCTTAATTTACATTATATTTTGATATAATAATTAATATTTAAAAATAAAAAAAAATTAAATTAAATAAAACCGTTAGATAGAGCACAACGAATGTAATATATGCTGTGTGACTTTGCTGTAATAATACTGGAAGGTTAACCAGACGGATTTTTCAGTACAGACAATGGGACACTCGTTGACGCGACACGTGTCGTGATGTGAGTGGAAGAGAAACATGTGACCTGTGGAAAAGTTTGGCAACACTCCCGGGCATATGTCGGTCGCCAATTCCAAACACCACTCCACTGCCCCGTCACGTGCTTTTCATGTGATCACCAATCCGTCACTTCCCAATTTATTATTATTATTATTATTATTATTATTTTTAACCAATCACGCATTAATTATGCACATAAATTAAAAATTTAAGGTAAAAGTCGCATTAACAGTTCAGCAACTTTGTTCCGATAAAAGTATGCAATAAAATCTGTAGTCGTTATTTTACTCAGATATGTATGTATGATGGTTTACATTATAAATACACATGGGTGTATTTATCTGTTGAGATTTAAATAGTAAAAATTTTAAATTAAAATAGTAGTATAATATGATATATATAAGTATTGATATAATATTTTAAATATAAATTTATTTTTTAGTATAATATAAAAAATAAAAAATAAATATTTGATTTGATATTTAAAAATAAAAAATAAAAAAATTAATGAATAGTGAAAATCTTTAGAAATCTTCCATACAAACACACCTAATCATGTCTATGTCTATTTATGGTTTACTCGTATAGTCATATGCTTATTTTATTTAGGCTTCCTATAGATCATCGAGATTTTGAAATTTTAAAAATAAATAAAATTGAAATAATAAAACTTTAAGAATAAGTATTTGAATGCTAAAAGCTAAAAATGTATAAACAAATATTTGAAATTTTCTGAAAATTTAAATTTAGAAATAGTAAAAAACATTGAGTATTTGTGTGATATTTTGTCGTTAAAAATATTTCATATGATATTTTTTTAAGTACAATTGATAAATAATACTCCTTTCATTTCAAATAATCTGTAATATTTTTTTTTGTTAATCTGTATCAAATATTTTTTAATATTTTTTAAATAAAAAATAATTAATTATACTTAATCTTTTATAAATAAAATAGACGAAAATAAAAAAATAAACATGATTAGCAAGATGGAGAGAGTATTATTATAGTATTTCCCCCGTCCCATAAATATAGTCTTAATTGGGTTGGACACGAGATTTAAGGAATATTGATATTATATTGATAGTTGGTAAAAAAATATGGATAAAAAACTTTTTTGCCCTTGTGAGTGTATTAGTGTAAAAAGTAATGACAATTGTGTAATAAAAATGAAAAAATATTAGTAGTTTTACGATGATATAGTTATTTATAAAAATAAGATTATTATTTTGGGACATACACAAATAATAAATAAGACTATCGTATTGGAACGGAGGAAGAAGTAAATAAATAAATAGAAGTTTAACTTATTTGGCAAACTTACTGACCATCTAAGTCTAACGCCTTTTAATTAATGCCAACTAACGTACGAGAGTGTTGTGACAGACCACCCAACCAACGGTAATGAGTGTCCCCAAATAGTCATTATTTGTGAATTACTTGTCCCTCAAAATAAATAAATACTCCTAAGTATATTAGATATTTTGGTATTCAATTCAAACTATTATAAATAAAAATATATTATTATTATTATTATTATAAAATATTATATTAACATAATATTTAATTTAAAATACAAATAAAAAAACTCAAAAACAAACAAACAAACATACTTGTCAAAATATATTAGTCAACTGTATCTATATATATATATATTTTTTAAAAAATGATATTGGATCTTTAGTCGCTACTCTTTAAATTTATTTTGGATAAATTTTTAGTTGAATCTAATAGCATGCAAATTAAACCTAATAATGAACAACGTAAGTGACACTAGACGAATATGTATAGTAGACAAAACTTGAAAACGTCGCAAATTTGAACCAATGATTGTTGGACTGAATAATTTTTAATCTCATTGGCTGTCTATGAAAATTAGAATTGTAGCTGAAAATTAAATTTAACTAATAAGATATTGCTTTGTTACAAGATAAATTATGATAATATATATAATAATATATAATTTTTGAATTTATTAAAATTTATATTTAAATAAAATATATATATTTAATATAGAAAGATCATAAATTGATACCATTTTAAGAAATTAAAAATAAATGAAATAAAAATATTAAAAATATAAGTATCAATCGATAATCAAACATGCATGCCCAAGTTGTTGGTTGATTTACTAAAGACACTTTAAGTTAGGAATAACAATGCATTCGAATAAACCTTAATTAGGAATCTCGTCGAAATTATTCGAAGATAAGTCATATATTATATACCTTATTCAAGTTTGGATCGGGTTCAAAGTTTAAGATTGGATCCAACTCAAACTTTAATTTGGATTCGACTCGATTAATACGATAATAATATATTTATAATATGCAAGAAAAAAATAATTTTATCGATATTATTATTTTAAAAATATTAATTTTTGTTGCATTTAATTTCTTTTTGATCATTTAATTAGTTTTGTTACACAAATATCATTACCTTTATATCATACAATACTAGTAAATAGTTTAGTCTTTTTACTTTTATTTCTATTATATCTCGAGATAATACTAATATTTCTAAAATTCCGTGTAAAAAACAAATAGATAAATAGATATGAGACAAAAATAGTATTAAAATTTTAATAATTGTAAAAGCATTTTGAGTTGTGGGTACATAGGGTTTATATATTGAGATTTTTCCATCTATTTTATATAGTTTGTTTTTTTACTTTTTTTTTTAAAAAAAAACATAATTATACATTTTAATTGTATTTTTAATTTTTTAATTTATATATTTTAATATTTTAATTAAATTAATTAGTTATTTAAATCTTAGTATGTAATTACTTGTATCATATAATAATTATTTTTACTAATATATTTTTTAATTATTTATTAATTATTACCATTACTTAAATTCTTATATCTATAGAAAGCTGAACAAGTCGGGACCGAGGAAGTAATAAATTATAGCTCGACTTGTCCAGGTGATTCGTGATCACGTTTTTCTCTCTTTGTCTCTATATATATCTACAATTGCATGATAGTTACGTTTGGATAGAAAATTTTAAAATTTTGAAATATTTTAAATATAATTAAAATTTTAAATATTTGATATAATATTTTATTAAAAAATAAATAAATATTTAATATTACATTTAAAATAATTATAGTAATTAATAATATCAAAATTTTTAAAAAATATGCATACAAACAGAAATTAGTTGATAAGGATGTAGAGAATAAGATGAGATATGTATGGATGTAATAAATAAAATTGAAGTGGTTAATATGTAAATAAATTAAAAGGTCACATGGTGTAGAGACATGTACATGCACATGGAAAGGCCCACCCCTGTTCGTACCATAATTAATTACCACTTATGCCTGATCGTGTAATTTATTTTATCGAACTTAAATTGTAAATTATTAAATTTGATCGAAAATTTATCCAAAATGCATATGAAGAGTAACAATTGCGAATTTCTACATTATTTAAAATAAAATAAAAAATAAATACATACTAGCCTACCTCCACATTTTATTGAAGTATTATTATAAACAATTTAAAAATTTACCATAGCTACTTTTTAAAATACATTTTGGATAAATGTCTGGCCATCACAACTTTACTTGACAGGTAACATGTTGCTTATTTCACAGTCCCCCTCATTACATTGCAATCCAATAAATTATCATTTTTTATTATATAAATATATTTTTATATTCTTTTCGTCCCGTTATAAAATTTATATTTATTTTTTATATTACTCTACTTAATGTTAAAATTATTTTTATATTTATATAATTCACTATACAAATCTTATTATAATTATATTATAAAATACGAATAGAAATATTTTTTTGTATTTTTTCTCTTTATTTGTATTTTAATTTGATATAATAATTAATATTCAAATATCAACGTGCAAAATAATATAGGGTGTGTTTACTTGTGGATTTTTTCTCTGGTTTTACTATTCCAATTTTCCCTCCAAAAATATCAAATCAAACATCATTTTTTATTTATTTTATTACACTAAAATCTAATTTTACATTCAAAACATCGTATCAATATATATTTATATCACATCAAAAAACTATTTCAATTCAAAATTTAACTATTTAAAACAAAAATAAAAAATCATAATTTTACAAGTAAGCACGCTCGTAAACTTTAGAAGTAAGACACAAGGAGTATAACCACATTGGTTATGGTTTTAATTTTTTAATTTATTTTTTTTGTGAGTGTTAACATTTGAAACTCCTTTACTTGCGATTTGCAATGTTCTCTCTCGTTTGGAAGTTGACTCCATCCTATTAAAGCAGTCCGCGTTGTTTATTTGATGATTTTTTTATTTAGAATATTAAATTAAATGTGATATTTTTATAAGAATGGAAGATTGTATAATAAAAAAATAATAATATTATTAAAAATAACAAAGAGAATAAACAACAGTAAGAATTAGCATTAAATATATTGTACATTGTGTTTGTTTTGTGAGAATTTTGGAAAAGAAAGTTTTTTATATAAAATATAGAAAATTGTATAGAAAATATAAAAATAATGAAGGTGTGTATGAGAATATCATGTATGTTTATTATTGATTTGTGCAGAGAATATATAGTACAGAACTAACCGAGAAATATTGCAGTTATAAAAAATCCTAAATGATAACATATGAATAATTTAAAATAATTCAAAGCAATTCAAATTCTATTCCTTAACAGTGTGTAGTATATTAATTATTTTGGGAAAAATTAGAAAAAATAAAACCTATGTTCTTAAAAAATCAATAATAATAATAATAATAATAATAATAATAACAAATTAATTAAACAATACTTCCTCCGTCCCTTAACAATCTATCCATTTTTTAATTTCGGTCGGTCTCGTAATAAAATATCAATTTTTTTTTAATAACTGTATTATTTACCTAACATTACAAATATCATTCCAATTTACAATATATTACACAAATAATACTAATAAAGTTAATTTACTTTTATTTTTACTATATTTTAATATAATATTAATATTTTTAAAATTTTATGCAAAAATTAAATGGATAGATAGATAAGAAACTGTATTAAAAAATAAAAATAAAAATAAAAACGAGTATAGTGGTTCCTCCAATGCAGTTGTCTTGTCTTGTTGAAATCCAACATCACTGTCTCTGCCACTGTACACTCTGTCTCTCAATCCCCAGCTTCTTATTTGATCCTCCCTCACTCCAGTGGTCCTCCTTTCCACATTTTTTATTTTTTTATTTTATATATTAATTTTGTCTTAATATAATTAATTTCTATACATACACGCCTTTTCTTCTACTGAGAATCCTCTCTTACAACACTTAATTGATTCTCCCTCTCACAGCTTTTCTTCTTCTTACAATTAGGTTACAGTTTCGATCGAAACGATGTCGTCTAGGAGAAGACAACGCCAGACGACGACGACCGACGGAGCCTCCAAAATAACCGACGACCAAATCATTCAACTCGTCTCCAAATTGCACGAAATTCTTCCCGAAATCCGCACCACAAGACGGCGCTCCGACAAGGTACGTACGTAATTAATTAATTAATCCAATCCTCACACAAATGTCTGCAATTAAATTACACATAGAAAGCTCCATCTATTACTTACGTATATCAGTTTTGGCGTGTGGTTTAATTTTTTTAATTTCTTCGTGAAAAATACCTGCATTGAGATTTGAGATTTGTTGATTCCTTGTGGTGCTTTGTCTTTGTGGAGACAACCTGCGCATTTGTGCGTGCTCGCACACGCACAATGCATGCTCTCCAACAGACGTACGGACGTAGGTTGTAATTAAAAATAAATAAATAAATAATAGTAAATTTTACAGGCGTCAGCGAATAAAGTGCTGCAGGAAACTTGCAATTACATACGAAGCCTTCACAGTGAAATGGACGATCTGAGCGCTCGCCTTTCGCAGCTGATGTCGGCTGTAGACAATGACAGCCCTGAGGCTGCCATCATTAGGACATTAATCTAATTATTAATTAATTAGTTATAATTTATGTAGTTGAAATTTAACGCCCATTGTTGTAACTTCTTACCTCGGCTGCTGCACCTGCACTGCACGTGCTTTGTTTTTTTTAGTATTGGGCCTTTGGGCTTATGAATTATTCGTGTTTTCAATTGGGCCGTAACTGGGCTTCGTGGTGCTCTGTCGTGTTTTTTTTTAAGGTCGACAATGTGGATGTGGTTGTTGTTTGGAAGTTGTGTATCTAAAAAAAAAAAAAGTAAATCCATATTATTATTTTTATAATTTTGAATTTAAATGATAATTGCTAATTCTTGCCAATTACACTACCAATAAAACCTTACATTAACTTTATATAAATGGATTTCTTTTTAAGTAAAAAAAGTCTCTCTCTCTCTCTCTCTCTTTTTTTTTTCTAAGATTTCTAGAAACCAAAAAGTTTCTTTACAATAAAAAAATCCTCCGAAATTTTTTTTTGTTTTCCTAATTCAGTTTGCGAAATCTGTAATTTCATTCGATTCATTCTATCCTAAGAGACGATCGATGGTGGTTGAATTCGCTTCAAGAAAATCACGTCTAAGCGAAACTCGGATTCGACTAACATTCGATTTCAATGTTATCAGATCTGTAGTTTCTGATTTCATCTTATCTCAAATTTGCCATAAAGATCCAACACCTAATAGGCTACATTACAAACCCTCTATCTATTTTTGTTTGTAGTAATTATAGTCTCTATAGAAATAAACAATACTCTTATAATTTTAATTATTAATACAACAACAATAATATCATCAACTTATCTATTTAACTTAGAAATAAAAATTTTTCATGAACACATGTATATAGAAAATACTCCTTATATTCTAAAATTTACTTGCAAAGAATAAATAAATATATTATTTTTGGACAAAATATTTTTTTTATTGAAAAAAAAAATGATTACACAATAGAAAACCTGAAAAAGAATCCAATCCTGTGAGAAGACATGGAATGGAATATTAGCAAAAATAGTAAAGAATGATTTTATAAAAATCCCTGTTTGGGGTTGTTAGGCATTCACCGAACCGGGTTTGGGTATGGTTGTCGGGGTATGTATTTTTGGTCAAACTCAATCTCCACCGTCCATCATCAATATGAATTAAATAAACTCAATCTCAACCGTCCATTTTCCACTTATATCTATCTGTCTACAAATTAAATAAACAAATAAAATAATGCCAAAAATATCACTATGCTAAATCAAACAACTAACTCATTTATACCACATATAAATTTATTTCTAAATATTTATATATATATATATATTTGTTCAGCATTTAAAATTGATCTCTGCCAAACCTTCTTAAAAATTTTCTCATAGAATATATATGTATATATATTTCCATTTTTTGCTATTTTACTTTTTGTTTAGGGCTTGTGACAATACACCTGAGTTTGTTTAGTTTAGTTTATATATAATAATAATAGTAATAGTGGTCGAATATTGCAGCTTTAACTTTGTTAAATGAAAAATCTCATTATTTTCATTTTTGGTATATGGACAAATGACATTCTGTATAGCCGCTGTCTCCCGATATCAAAAACAGCAAATTACTTTCTGATGCTGCAGACAAACACAGACTGCATGTAGACTCTTACCTGCAACAGTTGTTTATGTGTATTATCTTATCCATTTTGTCTCATATGTGTATATATCCATACAAGACAAGTTTGATAAAATAAGGATAGTCAAAGGAATGTTAGATCTATCTTGAGAACCGTTTCATTCCATTTGTGTGCTAAGGGAATTAATTGTTGCTTAATTTACACTCAAATCAGGCTCCTGTATACACAACATGAGATAGCTTCGGTTTAGTGATAGAGCACATTTTTTAGAGCTTATCCTTGACAAAGAAATTATTGTAGAAGCTCTCATTCGAGTCCCTCTTTATCTCCATGTTTTTCACCTGTGTTTGATATACAAAACCCACCAGAGAAGTTTCCGGGGGGAGGAGTTCTCGGAGACCCAAAGGAGATGACAACCAGCTTGTTGAATGCATTACTCTAGGCTTCTTGTATACAATAGTGTCAGTACGCGTTTGCGACTACCAGTACCTGTGCATTGAATGGAAGGTAAGCCTTTATCGAGGATATGTGTTAAGTGAGTTTAAGGTTGTTATGTACTATTTTCAGTATTAATTACAGTGGAGTATCTCATGGATTGGATCCCCCAGATAAGGTTGTTATAACCGAACTGGGTTAACAAATACATGGTTCATTTATTGCTTTTCTGCTCAAGTATTTATATCGTTGTCAGTAAGCTGTTATTACTATAAGTTAACTGCGCTTCAAAGGAAGTTGACCCGAAGCAGGCTTGTCTATCCACCATTTCCCAACAAAATTAATTAAAAAAAACTGAGGAAAAATATGAAAACGCAAGGCAACAAAAAAATGTATTTTATTTAGAACTTATAATTAATAAAAATAGTTATTATATGTGAGATTATATTTAGACATTATTGTTAAATTATTGAAATATTTTATTTATCAATGGATCGGAATCAAATTGGTGTGAATTTTCATTATCAGTTTGTCGATGCATTACATCCGATTGCCGTTGCGTCTGCATTTGTGCCTTTACAATCGATGTATATTATTATACAATCGAGATCAATTTGATATCGTAAGATATTAGAATATATCAATCAAAATTGTGTTCCTCTTAGTTATTCATGCGTTCATCGATAAGTTTTTCATTTGATTTTTGCGTGTAAATTAAAGTAATATTAAAGTGGTTTAATGTCTATTTTATTTTTTAAATTAAAGTTAAAAAAATGTAAAAAGAAAAAGTAAAAATATTTTAATATTTAGTTGAGACTTATTTTACTATAAAAAAAAATTAGAAATTTTGACTTAAACAATAAAAAATAATAAAATAAAAAGTTTACTCTTAGATCGAGAGAATATAAATTAGTGTAATAGTCTTGATATAATAAGCAAGTGCTGTCATATTTGTAATATTATTGTGAAATCTATGGGTAGTAAAAGAGAGAGACAATTTGTTTGTTTAATATTTTGGTTTGAAGTATTTATTTTTTATTAAAATATTAGAAATTATGTTACTAATATAAAAGATATAATATTTTATATCGAATATTATTTTTATAAAAGAATAAATATATTATATATATTAAAAATTATTGTCTTATAATAAAAAATAATTGGGAAAGTAAATCCATAATAAAATAAAATAAAAAAAATCATATTTATGGTTATATATATAGAGTGGAAGTGTAGTTGCGATTCACTGTATACTTTCTCACGGTAGAAAGCAATGGATCAATCCGTCTTCTCCAACAATGGTGAGTAATATATATATATATATATTTACATATTTTTTATATAATATTTTGTGGGATAAAATAATATAATGAATATATTATTACAAAGAATCAAAGCAATTTAATTATTACAATAATTTTTGGAGCGAGGTACGTAGAAGATCTGCTGAGGATGTCGATGGATCTGCACGGCGGCCGGAATAAGGAGAAGAAGCGGCGGCTGAAGGCGGAGCAGGTGAATGGCCTGGAGAAGAGCTTCGAATCCGGCGGAGACAGGCTGGACCCGGACCGGAAGATCCAGCTGGCTCGGGAGCTGGGCCTGGACCCCAGACAGGTGGCCATTTGGTTCCAGAACAGACGAGCCCGGTCCCGGACCAAGAAGCTCGAGAGCGACTATGATGCCCTTCGCAGACAGCTCCAGTCCCTCGCTGCCCACAACCTCGCCCTCAAATCTAACAATAAAAAACTCCACTCACAGGTATTTTACTTTGCATTTTGCAATTTCAAAATTACATATTACTAAGTCCAGTCCAGGACCATACGGTGGTTTGAAGATAACTTTAAACTATTTCAAATTTTGTCTGGTGTATAAAATGTATTTCTTTCCTATTTTAGCAATATATATAGAACATTAAAATAATTTAATATTAATACGCCAATACTCTATTGATATATATATATATACGTACAGTTGTTAGCTCTAAACGGGAGGAAGGTTTCGGCGGGGTGTGTTCATTCGGACACGAGCGTCGCCGCCATTGTTATGACATCATCCAGCGTTGGAGGTCCCGGATCCGCGAATATGAGGGAGGTCTTTCAGTTTCAGCCTTCTTCATCGAGACCAGATATGGTCCAGGACCCGGACCCGGACCCGGACCCGGAGGGATTCTGCAACGTGTTTGGGGAGAACCAGCAGGGATTGTGGCCATGGCCTTAGTTAGGAGTGCACTACACCTTCCTAATTATAGTAATCGAGGATTTCTAACCACAAAATTAAATCAGGATTTATTTTATTTTATATTTTAAATATTTTATTTCGGATATTATAAAAAAAAAAAACAGAAAAAAGTTACTGTATAATTACAATCAACAAATAAATACAAAAGTAGACATTCTTGCAAACACGCTGGAGCCAGACTCCCGTTTGAATCTCAACCGTTTATTATGTGGAGCCCACTTTATCTCAAATTAATAATCATCCAGGATTCGAACTCCTGCTGTTAGTATAATTTTCTAGTCCCACCTTATTGGGCTAGATAATGTATGGGCCCAATTAAAATGGGCCGGTTCAAATGAATTAGTCCAATTAGGAGACAAGACACATGACGGCTTAGACATATCTTGACTTAAGATTTTTTTTTTTTGGGTATATATATGAAGTTAAATAAAAATATTAATAGTAAATATTTTGGGGGGGGAAAAAAAAACCACATAATAAAATAAGTAAAAAAATAAAGTATTGTAATATAATGGATGAATGAATCAAGTGTCGAAAATGGAAGTACTAATAATTAGACACTTGATGCCAAAAGTTGTTTATAATTAAAAGTGAAAAAATCATCTTTTAAATTCGAATGCTTTTCAAACTCCAATCTTGAATAAAATAAAATTACACCCTAGTCAGCCTTAAAGAATTTTATTATTATTTTTTATTTTTTCCAATCATTCAAATGCAAAATATCAATTTTATTTTATTTTATTTTATTTTATTTTTTTTAAGTAAGCGTACATCTTATTATAAGTAGTACTAAATATCCTATCTTACACTTCTTGATATAGATATTATTATGTTATTAATTTATATACCAATAGCAATCCATAACTACATATAAAAAAAATTAAAAATTGGAGTAATTAAAATATTGAGTGTGCTTTGTGTTTTGGTTTGGAAGGATATATATATATATTTTAATGTGAAATATATATGAAATTGTATAGATAATATAAAAATAATGAGGGTATGTAATATATTAATTTTTATAAAAAAGATATGTCCGAAAAATTTTGTGTAAAAGAACACACATAGTGAGCACAATGTTTAATAAAATTTTAACTAAAAATATATTAGTACTTACAATAAATTTTTTATATGTTTTTTCTATCTTCAAATTTATTCTATTTTTTTCATCGGTCCTTAAATGACCTAATTATTATATTTACGGAAGTAAAAAATAAATAAATAAATAGAAATCAATATTTAACTATTACAATTTATTTAATATTTATTTATAACAATTATCGGTAAGTTATTATATTTCCTTTATCCATTTTTTCTAATCACTAATTAATTTTTAAAAAAATAGTTTAAACTACTTTTTTTTTTTTTGTTAGTTTTTAAATATTTTTTTTCTTAATTTTATCAAAGGACCAAAGAGGCTAAATATAGGGATGAAAAAAGTAGTAAAAAATAAACAAACATGCTATAGTATAAAGTTTTAATCACTGTTTTTATATATATTTGAGATTTTAAACATTATTAATTATTTATAATTTTTTTAAAATACATTAATTTTTTTATATTTAAAAATATTTATTGCTTTCCATATAAAATGTTCATTTATTTATTTATCTCTGTTTCACATATTTTTTTTCTGAAAAATAATTATATATTTTAATTATATTTAAATTTCATATTATAATCTTTTTAATTTAAATTAAATTTAAAAAATATATTAATAAATTTTTTAAATATAAATAAAAATATTTATTGTTAAAAAAATAAAAAAAATTGAATAAATTTCATGTATAAAAAATTTAAAATTTAATTAAATTATTTATATTTATTAAATATATTTAAGATGGTTAAATTTATCTATTTAAACTCTAAAATATAGTCTAAATTTCTCCAAAAAATTATTTAATGAGTAAAAATAAAAATCCACGTGGCGGGTCAGAACGAAGGGCTTTTGCATTAGCAGTAAGTACCATAAAGGAAGAAGACGCAATATTACAGTTACAGCGGTGGTGAGCGCGTCATCCACACCGTCCAATCAGAATCAAGACAATACAAAAGTAGGGCCCACGCGGTTAACAATCTAGCCAATAGGATTTCACTGTCACAGATCTCTCGTCACAGCCATCGCCTGTAGCTTCCCTCCGCTGTCCGTATTTCATTTTCTTACTTCTTTTCAGGCAAAACGCACATTCCTATCTCTCTCTCTCCTCTCTCTCTCTAGCACGCACAGATAGATATACACGTCATTCACATTTGCCCTTACCGAGTGAGAGCTTTGTTCCTTTGTTTGTCCTCGAGAACCAGCGCTACGCCTGTGTCCGTTTCTGGAAACAGACATATTCTCTCTCAACAAATCCTCTCTCTCTCTCTCTAGAAATTCGAATGACTGTTTTCAGTGTGAGTGTCTGAAGGGTTCTTCGTGAATTGCTGTTTTTTGACACCCCACATTGTAATTTCTTACTTTGATTCGATTCTTTCGCATGTTCAAACATTTTGGATTCTCAATCAAATCTTAGGTTTTTATTTTATTTATTATTTTGTTTTTAATTTTTCCCCCCTTTTACAGCCTTTTGATTTATGGGTTTGGATTTCTGTCTTTATCTCATCTCATCATTTGGATAAGAAAGCCAATTGAAATTCTTACAAAGTTTGATGAAAAAAGGAATGTTTGGATAAGGGGGGAAGAAAAACCCAAAAAAACCCAAAAAGTGTGAAAGGAGGGCTTTCTTTTTTGATGTTTTTAAATGTCTCCTTTTTAATTTATTTTGTTTTTAGATTTTAATTCTAGCTAGGGTTTGAAGAATGAGGCAGAGGCGACACTGTCCGGAAGCTGCTGCTGCTGCCATGGATGCCCCAAATTCGAAATCGAAGAAAAGCAGTAGTGATGATGATGACGATAATGTTGGCTGTTGGTTTTTCAGATCTTTTGGATGCTTGTCTGGAAAGATTAATGGCGACAATGGCGTTAGTGGGACAACTTCTATAAATGGTAATCTATACATATATATATATATGTATGTATTTGAGCATTTCTTATTGTGTTCTTATTATTACCTTTTTAACTCATTTGTTGGATTCATATGTTGTCTTTGTCTGTTTATCACATTGTTGGTTTTTATGGTAATCAATTGATTTTGATTGATTGATTGATTAATGGATGTTTGTGTTTTGGTGAAGAATGTGAAATTTGGGTATGAAGTATGATTCTTCAACTCTAATTTTTTGTTGCGTTGTTTAGAATCGAAAATTGATGATTTTGGGTGTCGAATTAAGCTTATAGGCTCTGTTTATATAGAAGTTTTTGAGTTTCGGACAAATTTTTAAAACGAAAAATGTTTTGCAAGAGGAAAAAGACAATCGATATAATAATTTTTTAGAAAGTTACATTCGACATTTCAATGTGATCGGTTGTGATTCGTTGCTCTGTTTTTGCGCATAGTAAACATATGTATACATCTAATGTTGTTCGGTTGTAATGATCTAACCAAAAAACGGACACTTCTTGGGCTTTAATTGACTGTTGGCGCCGCCTTATCCCTTATCCGTTTTTATTAATTGCAACTGTTTAGCTTTGTCGTTTAATTGTCGCAATATGACATGTCGAACGATCGATTGTACATGTGTGGTGTGTCGAAGGTAATAACGATCTTTTTGTGCATTTTTTTCAGAAAGTAAATATACGAACGATTCGAGCAACGAGCAGCAGCCGGTCGCTCCGGTCGTGTCGTCGTCGACGACCAGCAACGGCGAGAGTAATCCATCGACGGTAAACATAAGCGAAGAGTTGAAAATATCGTCTCAGCTACGGAACTTCACCTATAACGAATTGAAATTAGCGGCGAGGAATTTTAGGCCTGATTGTCTCCTCGGCGAGGGCGGGTTCGGCTGCGTTTACAAAGGTTGGGTTAACGAGATGAGCAGCGCACCGGTGAAACCCGGCACGGGACTTACCGTCGCCGTAAAGACTCTAAATCATGACGGGCTTCAAGGACACAAAGAATGGCTCGTATGATTCGAATTTTTGTTTTGGAAAGATCAAATAATTTTGCATCGTTCTTTCGAATTGTCGATTGATTTCTTGTTTCGTTTTCTTCTTGTAGGCTGAAGTGAATTATCTCGGCGAACTCGTACACCCGAATCTCGTCAAATTGATCGGATATTGTATCGAGGATGACCAAAGGCTTCTCGTCTATGAATTCATGCCCCGCGGAAGCTTAGAGAATCACTTGTTTAAGAGTATGCTTTTATCCGACTTTATATGTATTCGATCTTCGGATTAATCGGGTTTCATTTTTTTAGAATCTTGATTCGAAAAGTATGTTTAAACGCTAATTCATACATATCGATCGATCGATCTTTTTGTTCTTTTTGTACGGTAGGATCGCTACCCCTTCCTTGGCCAATAAGGATGAAAATCGCGTTGGGCGCGGCGAAAGGGCTCGCGTTTCTTCACGAAGAAGCGAAGAGGCCCGTTATATATCGAGATTTCAAGACGTCGAATATTTTGCTGGACGTGGTAAATGCATCGCAAACCTTACGTTTTCGAAAGTATCAATTTTCTTAAACTTAAAAATCTTATATATATATATATATATATGTTATAGGATTACAATGCGAAGCTTTCCGACTTTGGACTTGCAAAAGACGGCCCCGAAGGGGACAAAACGCACGTCTCGACTCGTGTAATGGGAACATACGGTTACGCCGCGCCCGAGTATGTTATGACGGGTAAACCCTTTTTACCTGACCTCTTTGATCCGAGTTTACTGGTTGTGTTTACTTGTAAGATTTTGGTTTTTAGTTTTAGTTTTGAATAGTAAAATTCTGAATTGAGATAGTTGTTCGATTTTATGGTTTGGAGGGAAAAGAAAGTTAGAACAGTCAAATCAGGTGGAAAGTTGTACAAGTAAACACGTTTTTTTTTTCGTCGATGTAATGTTATTACATGTTTTGGTAGGACATCTTACGGCGAAGAGCGACGTGTACAGTTTCGGAGTGGTTTTACTCGAGCTGCTGACGGGGCGGAGATCGATGGACAAAACCAGACGGAACGGCGAGCATAACCTCGTCGAATGGGCGCGCCCATTTCTCCGCGAGCGTCGACGGTTCTACAGGCTCGTCGATCCTCGGCTCGAGGGACGTTTTTCGATCAGAGGCGCCCAGCAGGCTGTCCAGCTGGCGGCTCGTTGCCTTAGCCGCGAGGCGAAAATCAGACCCGCGATGAGTGAGATTGTTGAAGCTCTTGAGCCGTTGCCGTCGCTCACCGATATGGCGTGCGCGTCGTCGCAATTTCAGGCCTTACAGGCGGCCCGACCGGGCGGGAACCCGAGAAACGGGGTGCGGATTCAGACAGGGTTGACAAGGAACGGACAGTTTAGTCTTAGCCCGTCTTTGTCGAGGAGGAACGGGAACGAAGCTTCGCCGCACAATCGAACGGCTGCGTCATCGATGACGATGATGCAGTCGCCTAAAGTTGTTGTCGAGAAGCCCATTGTCGAGACGCCGTGATTGATCGAGGTTTGTCGATGATTGATCGTTCGTTTTTTCGGTTTCGGTTTCGATTTGCAGACGTGAAACTCTATGGAAGCCGTAGAGAAAAATTGTTCGTTCTTATATATATAGTGTAGAAGAGCTGATGAACATTTTAATTGAATTGAATTGAAGCTGAAATTAATTGCGTTTTATTCGGGCCATATATTATATATTTATCCATATATCAATATATTTATAATATAATTGATCACCACTATAAGCATACAATCAGTTCGTATTAGGTTAGTTTATTTATTATATTTACGGTAGTTTTTGCTATTTGATACTCCCTCCCTCCCGTAAAAAATCTAATTTATTTTTACTATATCCCAATATAATACTACTGATATTTCGGAGAAAGTATTATATTTTGTATGTTTCGAAGCATTTTAACTTTTGCTTTAAGTTTAATATAAACAATTTAAGGTATAAATGGGGTCATTTAAATGAAACTTTATTATTATTCCTTTTTATTAATTCATTCATACATTTTATAAAATATTTTTTATTTTATATCAAAATTAACCAATATAACAAATATGTTTTCATACATAATAAAAATCTCAAAACAAAAAATACAGAAAACAAATCCCCCTTACCGACACAAGAAAACACGATGGTTCGTTCTCATCAAAACATTTTCAAAAACGTTTGTTTGTAATAAAAAGGACAAAAAAAAAAAAAAAAAAAAAAAGGAAAGCAGAAACAAAACATGACAGAGCAGTATTTAATCGAACCAAACCAACCCATAATAAACCCACAGGCTTTTAACTAAAAACAATTATAATTAATCCAACAGACAAACAAATACATACCTCTTCTTCTTCTTCTTCATCTTCATCTATGGCTATACAAATCTTCTCATCGTTATTACCTCCTCCAGCCCCTCTGCACTACCTTATCTGCGCAGCAAAATCAAACATACTTCTTAACTTTGCATCCATCGAATGATCGAATAGATTCGACAACAATAAGGATGTAAAAACGTGTACCGTCTCTAGTCGATGGCGCCGATCGGTTGGTTTTATTACTTCCTTTGCCGTTGCTACTTTGGACAGGCTTCTGCAGTCGAGGCGACATAGTGCTTAACTTCCCGTTGGTCGGGGCCGGGAGAGAATGGCGACGAACGTAACCTTGCTCCCCGCCGCCGCCGTCGTCACTGAATCGAGCAGATCCTTGGGCTCGAAGCTTCGCCTTCGCCGATGCTGTGGCCGCCATGTAGCTCGGTAAGTTTGGGGCATTCTGCGATATGTTTTCGACGTACTCTTGCTTCGCGGGAAGCGATCTTCGCTTACGGATTTTGTGATTGTCCTTGTCGTCCCCGTTGCCCGTTACGTCGCCTGTCTTGCCACCGTTTTCCGAGTTGTGAAACTGATCTTCGTGCGGCGTCTCGATTGGATCTTCGATTGTTAGCGTCTTTAAAGGAGCTTCGACGTCCGACTCGGTTTGGTGTTCGGTGGAAACGACGATTCCTTTCAGGCCTGTGGATTGTAGCGGCTTCTCAGGTTCGATTTCTGGTCTTTCGGAAGTAATGGTCGTCGTAGAAACGGAAACTTTCCTTAAATTCCGCTTGACCCTCTCGAGTTCGTTTTGGGGTTGTTCTTGAACGGCCTCCTTCCTCGGGTTCCTTTTGGCCTTCTCGGTTTCGAAAGAAGCTAAAGCTCCATTGTCGATGTTTCCAGAAACTGAAGGCGGCTTCCGGATGGTTCTCTTCGACTTCCACGAATCATTTTCGGAAATTTGCGTCTCGCCCTGCTTCCTCTGAGGCTTTGCATTCGAAACTTTTCTCGGACGAGCAGGTGGCTCCCAAAAACGAGACGATGACCAGCGGTCGAGCCAGTTCGAAGCTGAATTTGGTTCGAACAGATCGTATTGAAGACTCAGGGGCATAGCGGTAGGCATCGACAAAAGAAGCTGGCAAGAACAGCAACGACGGTAATCAGACCCGTGTTAAAAAAAGCAGTCACAAAACGCTAATTCTTATAGATCATCTCGATAGGATGCTAAAAAGATGCACATAATAGAAAACAGAATAAAGGCGCGCTATTGTATCATTTATATTTGCGTTGATAGGTAGCTATGCAATGAAAATTAAAAATGCAACCTTACGAATGTATGCATTTGCCGCTTGATTTTCGAATGTTTTTCCACCTTCGGCCTGTTTAGCACCCTGACAAAATCACGGAACAATGCGCTTGTGCTTGCATCAAATAGTTATACGAATCTACGAATTTATACGAGCTATTGATTCAACAATGTCATCAAGAAACGAGTAATTGATTCAACATTACCTGAAGTGTGTCGCACTTCTTATGTATTCCGCGCCACGTACCAGAGAGTCTAACCCTTCGTCCGCGTGCCAATGCCTGAAGCTTAACAACTGCTCGCATACAGTGCAAAGTAGCGACGGCCTGTCGCCTAACCAAATGACCACGAATAAGAGCTTGGAGCCTTATGATACCCTTTAGAGCTCGGAAAGCACGACGAGCCTGTCAGCATAGTTGAATAGTACAATTAGAAAGAAAATCCTGAAAATTGCGTCCTAAGAATTTCAATCGCCAAGAATTGCACATAAAGCTATAGAGAGTGTCCGAGCATATCCAAAATGGTTTCGGTTTCAAAGTAGATTAATTTTGAGTACACGATCCTTCCAAATCCACAAAAGATTAGTACGAATATTGACATAACAAGATGCACGCAAAACCAATTTTCATTCCAAATCTATCAAATCAAACACCTACTTTCATTTACTACATTACATACAAAACCAATTTCACATTCAAAACATTATATTTCAATTCAAACTTGTATTGTTCTCAAACCCCAAACCGAAATACAAAACTTGAACACCTTATTTTCATTTAATATATTACGTACAATCAACTCCACATTCAAAACATCGTATCAAACACTATTTCAATTCAAGCTTCAACTATTCTCAAACCCCAAACCAAAATCAAAAGATTAAAGGAACAGAAAGCATCCAAATCCCAATTTCAATATAGAAACTAAAATCACAAGCATAATAGCATGTCGAATGCAGGAGAATATTACCAAGTATCCCCTAAAAGCTGCTTGCGCTTTTGTAGCAGCTCTCCTTTCAGCATCACTTATCGGAAGCAAGACAGAAACACTTTGCGATTCCACACCTTGATTCACAGGAATTGAAACACCAGTCCCACAAGAAATGCTGTTCTCAAGTTCCAAATTTTCTGCATCTTCATCGGCAATTACATGAGGATTTGATATTACGAGGGGATTCCCAGATACGTCCTCCGACTGCATCTTTGCAGCATCCTTCTTACCATGTTTGGCATTCTGCAAAACCCCATGCCAATTTTAATCGACAAAATGGTTCTTCTAAAATGTAAACTAAAATGTTTCGAAACAAACACAATTTCATCATACATTTTGAACTAAATCAACCATAATTTTGTCGAAACAATTATTTCGAGTAAAAATGAACATGTAAACCACCATAAGTTAATCAACAAATTCTTACCTTGGATAAACTAGATTTCGAATGCTTTTTCCCAAACAGCACTGTCTTGATCCATCTTCCAGGAGACTTTCCCATAGCAAAAACTAGAAATAACAACTCAATTCAATTTCGGAACAGCTTCGAATGATAAATCCTTAATACATAACACAAAAAAGATAGCATTTCTACAATTTTAACATAACCAAAAAAAAAAATCTGTACAGATCTGTATGAGTGTTCAAAAAACTTTAACACATTACAAATATTGATAAATGCAACCTGCAATGCTTAGAATAAGAACAAAACAAATGCGAAATTGAAGAACACAGCAACAATCGCAGAAGAACAGATAACTTATAAAGTAGAACACTGAAAGCCAACAGAATCCATAAAACCTAAAGGATGAGTGAGAAATTACTTACTCATAAACTATGAAGCTAAAAAACATGAAACTTAAAATTAATTCTGCAGCTCAGATTAACATATTTAAAGAATCAAAAAGCAAAAACATTCAGTCACCGTGCAAGATCTGTTACCAAACTCCTGGAAAGTAGGAAAATCCACTAACGACCCACACGAACGAAGAAAAAAACTAAAAAAATCAAATAAGCACAAAAAAATAAACATACACTTTCGTTTTCGGCGCAATGCAGCTCAGATCTGGCGGTTCCCAAACCTGGAGATGAAAAGGAAATCGAAATATATATATATGTATATGTATGTATAATTCTCCTTACTCAACAGTCCGCGCAGCTCCACATTTTCTCGAAACGAAACCCTGGAAACAAGCTCAATAATAAACCGATATATAAAAGCAGAAAGGGGAAACCCTTAGGCAGCAAAAATCACATGGAATACGGAAAACTTAATTCGCAGATGGATTGCAAAGGAAGCAAAATTAGTAGAGACTGGGGTGGGTATCTTTAGGAAAAGCCCATACCTTTGTGAATCAATTCCACCCACTCATTGCGTAGGAAACGGACCTATTACTCGCTCTCTTCCTTCACCCTTTCGCTCCAAAAGGAATAGAGAAGAAATGGAGAGAGAGATATATATAGATACAGATACAGTGTATGTATATATATGTGTGTAATGAGAGGGTGCAGAGTGCAGAGCAGTGTTGCAGTTATACAGTCGCTTTTAGTAAAGTTGTTGAGCGTACTGTTGCGTCTGCCTGCAAGTGCGAGTGCAACCTCACACATTCTTTATTTCTTTATAAAATTAAATAATAATAATAATAATATTCATTCTTAAATAATTTGTTCATTTGTGAGTAATTTTAAATAATACGTAATTATTAAATAATTAAAAATATATTAATAAAATTAATTATAATATAATAAAATAATTATAAATTAAAGATTAAAATGTTCAACGAAATTTGTAATTATTTTTTTCAAAAATATAATTATATATTTTAATTATATTTTTAAATTTATAATTTTTAAATTTTAATTAAATTATTTAGTTATTTTAATTTTAATTTAAATTACTTATTCATTATTAGTTGAGACTGATGGAGTATAAATTGACAAAGAGAATGAGCAAATTAAATAAAGTTAAAAAAATAAAATACTATTTTAAATTTAAATTTAAATTATTTATGGGATACGATGTCGTATGGAGTTTAAACTGTTGGTTTGGAGGAGCGGAAAAATATGGGATTTGAATATTTTTAAATTTGGGAATAAAATTAAATACGGCATTTATTTTATGTACAATTGTGCTGTACTTTGCGAAGCAATAAAATTAGTGCTTGCCAATATTTATTAATTGATGAATTAATCATCAACCTCTTTGGACATATTTTTGTATCTGTTTGTTGGTGGGAAAATAAATAAATAGTTAGAAACAATAGGGAACAACCACTTGTGTGTTTACTTCTGACATTTGTTTTTTCGTTTTATTATTTTATTATTTTATTTTTTCTTAAAATATCAAATCAAACATCAATTTTTTATTTGTTATATTATACTAAAATTAAATTTTACATACATAACATCACATCTATTCAAAATCAAAACAAAAAACTAAAATCTCACAAATAAACACATCCAATATGTTTTAAGAATCAAGGGCATCTTTGTAGGTTTAAATTTTTAGATTTGAATTTTTGAATAGTAAAAATTCAAATTTAAATAATTGTTTGATGTAATATAGATAAATATTGATGTAATATTTTGAATATAAGAAAAATAATTATTTGATTTAATATTTTTAAAGAGAATAAAAACATAATAGAAAATGAGAACAAAACGTAAATACTAAATTTGATTTGAATAAATGTTTAATATGAAGTTTGGAAAAAAAAATAAAAAATAAAATAAAATTTTTATATAAAATTTGATATGAAAATAAATACTATAATCTCTCCTAAAAAAGGTTAAATGAACATTGTAAATAAATGAAACTTTAAAAAATATATAAAAATTATTTGCTATTATAGAAATAAATATTATTTAAAAAAAGCCATAATAATTTGGTGGAGAGAAAGCAATCTCTCTCTCTTAATCTAAAAAATATAAAATGTATCACATGTAATATTCAAAACACAAAATGAAACAAATAACAAAAGACAGCAATTCAATCTACGTTCTCATTTCAAATTGAAAACAAAAATAAAAAATAAAAAAATGAAATACTGCAATGAACATTAGCTCTAAAATAAAAAAGCAAAGACAGGCTTACTGCTTAGTCCCTTTCTGTTAATCTTGTCCCTAAGAAATTATCTGCAAGATTGGCAATCAAATGAGACAAACAATAATCCATATCATTATATTATATTGATGACAATTATCAGCAGAAGATACAAATTTCAGTGTGTTAGAGAATCCTAGAGAGGTGTAAGTAAATTCATAATTGAGAAATTGAAAGGGAAGCAGCAACCTACTACAAGAAGATGTCAAGATGAGATTATGTACACGACGAGCAACGAAAATAAAATTTATGTTTTTCGACACAGCCATGTTGTCCTGAGTGAGACTGCTAACGCAGAAATTGTGAAAGCAAAGCATTTAAGAGAAATGTTACGTAAACCGTCGAGACCAGGCGCGAGATTTCCAGTCATTTGGAGACACTTTAGTCTGCTGTCCAGCTCTGTTCCACGATTTCGCGCACCTTCCTGTTGTATTCGCGTTTGTTCTCGCTAAACATCCTGGCAGCCTCCGAGTTTGCCGGTGAATTTGGGTTCGGATCGCAAAGCAGGGACTGTAATTTGGGTTCGCTAAAATTTAATTTTATATTCAAAACATCACATAATACATATTTATATCACATCATACAACTATTCCAATTGAAAACTTTTACTATTCAAATTCCAACTCAAAATCCAAACTCCCAAACAAACACACCCTAAGTTTACATACCTGAATGGATGTTAGTATAGCAGCTACATCGTATATCGGACTCCACTGGTTTTGCAATATATCCAAGCAAATACTTCCGTCTGCGTAAACTGATACCCAAATGTACATCAATATAAGCCAATCGTAACTATGTAAAATCAGCATGGAGCAAATAAAATAATAATGTCCACTATACTTTGTTATATATGATTGGCAAATCTGGCAAAATTAAAAGAATTGACAGATGATAAAGATGCGGCTTAGCTTAGCTTAGCTACGATTTTTGATATGTAGGAAGGATCATCTGGTTCTTGTGTGAATAATAGTACTTCTAATTTTTAGTTTGTTTTAGCGGGCGTGCGTGTTGCACAAAACATTGTGCATTGGTTAGCGTAATAGCAATAATACATAGAAAGGAACTAAAAAGATAAAAAAATTGTTATTACTTGCATGTTGAGAATAAATCAAGTCAAATTTTGAATCAAATAATTCAAGAAAACACAAATTCAATCTCTAACTCTTAATCATACAAAGGTAGCACAATTAAAAACAACAATAATCACGTAACAAAAAAACATTGAATCATGTCATAGACATATGCACATACTATGTACAACCGTTACAACATAAAGCCTCGTCATTACTCATTACGTTACATGCTGATTTAGACTATAAAATGGCAACATTCCCGGATTACAAGCTTATGAAGGACTTCCCTATTCTTGATCTAATGGTTGCGCTTTGACTTTTAAAGCGAAATTGACACTTTAGATCTTTGGTAAAAGCATTTAGTCGAATAGAGCACAATGTTTAGTAAGGCATAGTGAATAATAACTTGAAAGAAAAAATCACTTTCACTTATCCCAGTCCGTATCATACAGGGGTAACTTGTCTCTATTATGGTCTAATATATCTATAGGAGATTCCAAAAGAAAAAACAAACTACTATGAACGTTTTGTTTTCATACAGAACAGACTACTTGATCATCTCATATGAGGCTTGAGCTTTATCAAACGACATCTCATATGCAGTGGCATATAAAAAGAAACCTTAGTCAAATTCAGTCTACTGTTTTCTTCAATCAGACAAAAGCTTATAATAACGGAAAAATAAATAAATTGTCTTGTGGCTCAAATTCAAGTTTTTAAGCATTTAGAATAGTTAGAATCCTTTCAAAAGAGCTAAAGGACGAAGAAAATTGTGAATGCCCATTCCTAAGACAGTTTAGAAGAATATTATCGTCATAAAATAAGTTGATCATTACTACAATTGTGTACAAAACCAATGGCTTGAGTGAGAAAAGGATAAATCTGATAAACTTTTTCTTCTGATACCCATAAAGGATAAGTTGGCTAGTTCATTACTAACAACAACGATAACGACATAAACCCAAAAAAACAAAAAGGAAAACAAAAAATACAATCATATCATGCAATCAGAAGTCTATTTGACTTTTAGCCCGATTTTTGTGATCAGCAAATTCTATCACATTGTTATACAAGTCCATTACGGACAATATGTGTCGGGTATTTATCGTCAACAGATGTCCGGCCATCATATATAGGTAAGTGAAAAGCATTCAGATAACATCTCCATAACAATGAAAACATCAAATAATCAGACATCACAAAACTTACTGTTTGGATGGAACATCCTAGATATGAATCGCACTGTCGGTGGTTTATTTGGGTAATCCTCCGTAAACTGAAGTGTCAATTTAAACGTTCCTATAAGAAAATTAACAATTAATAGAATAAGTGATCAATTAAGAAGATTGAACTTTGGTGGATCAAGCATATTACACATTAATATAAAGAAGCCACTGGACTGATAATTAGTTCTATCTTCTCTTTATCATTCCTCGCATACCTTCTTCATCATTGAAAGAAATGACCGACCACTTATCAAATCTCTTATCAATTTATGCTTTTTACCATATACTCTTCTCAATAAATCAATCCAAGCCATAGAAATTACAGGAATTTTAACTGCACCAACCAATTTATATCTAACCAAAAGATTTGCATCTTCTCACCTCCATCCCAAGGTGTATCGTCGGGGCTGAAAGCAATTATAAGAAAAAAAAAAATCCATAGGTCAGCAAAAACAAGTAAATAATTATCTCAATCCTTTCAAATCATGTAACATACCCAAATATAACGGCATTCCAGAGCATAATGTTGTTATCATATGGCGCACCGCTGATGCCTGCCGGAGGATCCTGCTGTAACCGCTTGAAATCCCTCATCAATCGCTTCCTCGCAGGCGTTGACATCTTCACCACCTACAATGACCACGATTCAAATCCACAGCTCAGCTCCCTTTCTATGTTGTCCAATTCAAGTATTGGAAATTGATACTGAACCCTATCTAAGACTATTCTAAGACTTATATCGAAAATTAACGATAATCGCTCAAAAAACGCCATCAAAGACAAAAACAACTATATAGATAAGAAATTGATCATATCAACCCGAGAAAACTTCAGATCCAGAAGCAAATCAACATAAAAACACTAAAACAGCGGGAATTTAATCAAAAGAAGAAAGTCGTGTACCTGAAATCAGCGGCGCAAGGGAAGTCCCACCGGTCTTCTATGTGATGGCTGATTTGTCTCCAACACCAGAGAGAGCGTTTTATAAGAAAATTATGTTCGGAGATAAGTTAGCGTAAAACGCAAGCGCAGAATCTTCAAATGGCTTTACCCACATAACATACACACATTTATATGTGTGTGTATATAGATATTCATATCTATATGCATATACAGCTAAGATCTGACTTGAAATTTTCTGATTTTAAAATTAGGTTAAGTTTTATAAAATATATTAATAAAAAAAATTATTATATAATAATTAAATACTCTACTTAATATAGAAAAAATAAAAATTTTAAATTTAAAAAAATTAATAAAATATATTATTATATTTTAAAAAACAATAAATTATATTACCCGTCCCACATACAGTGTCTGTTACACAATGTATTTTAGGAGGGTATAAAATAGTAGATAATTAAATAATGTATTAGTGAAAATAATTATTCTATAATATAAATAATTATAAATTAAGATTAAGATAACTAATTAGTTTTATTAAAATTTAAAAAAATAAAATTAAAAAGTTTAAAATTAGATTAAAGTGTGTAATCATTTTCCAAAAAATAAAAGTGACATGATATATGGGCCGGACAGAAACGGCAACGTGAACATACTACGTGGGACGGAGGGAGTATTAAATATATCAAAATACAAAAAATAAATATTTTATTTGAATAATAATAATAACTTAAGCATAGTTGTTTTGGGATCGTAATTTAAAATAGATATGCATATGAAATTTTATTTTAATAATATTTTAATTTTATTTTGTGATATAACATATTAGTATATTTTTTTATTGAAATAGTAAAGATGAATATAAAATAGTACTTTTAAAATAAAAGGATAATTGGATAGGTATGAGTTTGTTTGCTTTTCGTTGTGAAATTTAAAATTTTAATATAATTCTTATTTATATGATGTTTTGTTAAGAGGGTGAGTGTGTTTACCGGTCATGTTTTACATTTGATTTTATTATTTTAATTTTTTTTTTCAAAAATATCAAATTAAACATTCAATTTTTATTTATTTTATTACACTACGTTCAAAACATCACATTAACACATATTTTTATCACATCAAACAACTATTTCAATTCAAAATTTTACTATTTAAAATCAAAACTCAAAACTAAAACTTCATAAGTAAACACGTCTTATTGTTTTGGTCTTGCTTAAGGTATATATTTACTTTTTGAAAAAATAATAATATTTTAATTACAGTATATAAAAAATATGGTAAAAATAATTGTCTTATTATTTTTTTTATAAAAATAATAATGTGATAGTAAAATATTGATATTTGTAAAAAAAAATAATAAGATTCATTATTATTAAAAAATAAATATATACAGTGACGCATAACATATAAAAAAAAAAAAATTTAACCATTAAAGCAGGACAAAAAGAATATCATTTTTATCAAAAAAAAATTATATAAGTTAAACATTATTGATATGTTCTTCAAACACAAACAAAATATACTCTTGAAATTTTATTTAAACTTTTTATTTTATTAATTTGTAATTACTCTTTTTGTCCTAAAACAATCTACTTTTTTCACTAGTGATAATATTTAAGATAATAATATTAATTAGTTAATAACAATGAGTCATGATATTATTTTATTGTTACGTGATTAATAAGATTAATAGCTTTAAAATAAATTTAATATACATTATCAGAAAAATTAGAATATATATTTAAATATTTTAAAATTTATTATCGTAAAAGATATCACTTTGTAGATAATAAAATTTTATATAATATAAATAAATAAATAAAATTAGTTTATTTATTTATAATTAATATAAACTATTTATAAAATATATTGAATTTTAAATATAGATACAAATATTTATTTATTTTTAAAAAATAAATAAAAATTAAAGAGTTTTAAATATGTATTATCCGTTGTATACTAAGTTAATTAAATTAATTTATTGTATTTGTTATATATTTATTCACCCTCTCTCTCTGTTAGAGTTCAATTTCAAAAGTTAAATTTTTATTTTATAAAATATATAATTGTAAAAAAAATAGAAATAGAAACACAAAATCAAAGGCCAGTAAACAAACAAACCTTCGAGTCATCACTCTTTACCCCATCTCTATAAAGAGGAATGAGCACAGATGCTGTCTGCTTATATCTATCCATAGGTATAAATATATTGTGTAATAAAACTATTTGTATGAGACTATATCTTATAAAATAAATATCATATTCCCTCCGTCTCGGAACTAAGTATCCATTTATTTTTTGCACGTAGTTTTAAAAATATTAGTATTATATTAGAATATAGTAGAAATAAAGTAAAAATGACTAAAATAACTTTATTAGTATGTGTGATATAAAGGTAATGAAATTTGTGTAATATATTATAAATTGTAAGGGTATTTGTAATGTTAAGTAGATAGTACATTTACTTAAAAAAACAGATTAAAATAAAAAAAATAGATACTTGTTATGGACAGAGGAAGTATTATATTTACAAAAATTAATTACAATATATATAATACTCTAAATTAACCTTATTATTATTGCATGATATAAATGTAATGATATTTGTATAATATATTGTAAATTAAAAAAATATTTGTAACGTTACATAATAATACAATTACTAAAATAAATAAATAAATATTTTGTTATAAGACGGATCAAAATGAAAAAAATGGATAGATTATTAAGAAACGAAGGGAATAAATAAAATATATATATATATATTCAATAATTTGTAGTATATATGTCCCTTTGATAACAACTAATCCATATCTCTTTCAATAATCTAATTCAGTATTTGATAGTTGAAATTGACCAAATAAAAGCCTCCTAAAATCCCAACTAAAAAATCAGCAAAATAATAATATATATAAATAGATTACCAAGAGAAGTGACAATGAAAATTTAAAACTAAACAAAGAAAATGTCTATGATTATGATACAAGGAGAAATAAATGCTTCATTTCTTCAAGATCTTTGGCCCATCGTACGGCACTCCCAATATACACAAATCTCTTGGCTTTTCTCTCTCCTTCAGCCAAGCATACCTTTCTCTCTCCTCCTCCTCCAATTCCCCTGCAAATTTAAAAAATTTCAATTCAAAAATTTATTCTTACATTCAAAATATTCCAAAATCATTGTTTACATAGTAAACTTTCACCTATTTTGCACTATTTATTTATGAAAAATCATCGCATCAAATACTTTCTCCATGCCTTAACAAACTAACTTTGATCCGTCTCAATAATAAAGTATCAATTTTTTTTTTAGGTAATTGTAACATCACAAATACCCTTTAAATTTATAATATATTACATAAATGTCATTACCAGTTTAGTTTTTTCATCTTTATTTCTACTACATCCCAATATAATACTAATATAAAAGCAAACAGATAAATAGATATGGAAGGGAGGGAGTATATTTATTTTCTCAGAAAGCATCAAATCAAATAGTAATATTTTACTTTTGCAAATTTCCAAAATTCTTCGGAAACTTCTGTCTAAGCGGAATAAATTTAAAAAATACCTCTTGATGTAGCCAATGGAAGCTCATAGTAGTATTGACAGTGACGGCCATCGTCGTCGCTGTACGGCGGCCCGAGCACATCCAGCACAGCGCAGGCCGTGCCGGCAGTGAAGCAATGCATGTTGCCGCCGTCGGCCGGATACAAGATGCTCGTGCTGCACGGCGCCGTGAAGGTTGAATTGATCTTCAGCTTCGCCAGGCGCGATCCATTGGGTTGCACTGCATCGAAAAAGTAGATAAGAAAACTCGTCAAATTATTTTTACCAAAGCACGTTCCATTTTTAATTTCCTAGTCGACTCGAGGTCCCATTTCGTATATAAAAAGGCTAAAGGGGCTCGGCCCCGGCAGACAATAACAATCGAGGAAATAAAAAATTGAAGTAATCGAAGGTTGGTGTTTAGCTATGGAAGGATCCAAACAATGAGACAAAAAGATGGGCGGGGCAGAGTAGAGTATACTACAAATTCGACTTTTGCGAGGAGAGATAGCCGGGAATTCCGATTCCTTATTCCTTTTTCAAAGAAGATCGATTAGCTAGGGACAAGTAGATTGGTCCGAATTTGGACAACAAAAAAACAAGCAAACAAACGAACATGTTCTGAATATATACAAAGATCCAACTGTATTCTCAAAATGACCAAAGAATAGGCTTCATTCTTTTTGCAATTTTTTCCTATGCAGTTTCAAATGTTCCCAAATTAGAACATACTCCTTCCGTCTGGAAAAATTATGTAATTTTGGTTGGGCACGGATACTAAAAAGTAATAATAATACTATCTCCGTCTCATAATAAGAGTAACATATGCTTCAAATCAAGAAAAAAGACAAAAATATATCTACTAATCTCTTATAATACAAATACAATATTATTTATGGAGTAAATTATACAAATATAAAAATATTAAAAAAAACAAATAGTGTTCTTCTTATGGGACAGATGTAGTATTATAATGTTAAAGTACAGTGAGATATTATAGTAAATTTATTAATGAATTGATAAAAAAGTAATGAAATAACATTACGACTAAAAGCTAAAAGCCGAATAGTTTCGATAGCATACCTACAATGGCATTGCCGTCCGCCTCGTTCGACCAATCATAAGCCTTGATATGCATCGTCCCGAAGAGAAGTTTGCTGAAGACCGTCATTGCGGGATGGTTGTGAAGAGGGATGACACTCACCGGGGGCAAGCAGAAGATTCCTATCTGCGCACGCACGCGATCAAGTGAAACAATCAATCATATCGAAATCATGAGAAAACTTAAAGAGTGGAGGAGTTGAAGGACGAGTGGCGTACGGAGAAATTGTCACCCGCGTGAAGGGGAAGATACGATATGATGGGAGCTCGTTCGCTGCTGAAATACGGTTGATTTGGCCTCAGGCCAACATCTGCTGGGGTGATGCCATCTGCATAAGTCGATTATAATTTGTTACAGCTACACAAGTTGAATTTTTAATTACCAAAATGAATTCAGGACATGGAAACAAAATTTACGGAAGCTGAGTCTTAAAGATTCTACAAACAGTCTTAAAACAATGCTGCTGGAAGATTTCGGGAATTGATCAGGATTAGTATCCAACTTTAAGAAGTTTATACAGCAGAGTTTTCATTAACAATACGGAACATATATGCCTTAAATTCGAATAACTTTTCGAACGCAAAAGTAGATTGCTGAGATGCAGAAATATGTTTGTAAAAATGGTGCAACAAAAGTTCTTTTTTAAACATGGCATATTATTCTCACCCCTTAATCGACAAAGTGTGTATTGTGCTTTCAAATTTACTTCTGCACCATCCAATCTACCGTAAAATATTTTTTCAACCTAAGAAATTACTTATTTTCTAATCAAAACATCATATCAAGAACGCATAGTTTTCAATGTAAAACTTCAAATCCAATAATTTAAAGGCATAATGAGTTTGTTCGCTTAGCATTTTTCTGAATGACACAATTCTCGATAAATATTATAAAAAACATCTCATACTCAATATAAAAAATATACAAAAAAAAAACAAAAGTGAATAGACCCATTATTTAAATATACTTTTGGAAGTTTTGATATTATTCATTGACCATAACCTTTTAAAAAAAATAAATAAATCAAAACCAAAAATATATTTTTTCTCATAAAAATCGTATCAATTACCCAATTTTTTACTAATATTTTAAAAAAAAAACTTCAAAACTTTCCATCTAAACTGAGCATTCTACTAAAAAAAATTCAAATTCAAAAGATCAAAATACACCCAATCAATCAAGAGCTCATTGTAAATGAAATAAACAATTCAATTCAACATTTGGGATTAAACAAAATTTCACCAAGTGGTTTATTCCTACTGCAATTAACCAAAAAATACAATATATAGATAAATATACACACATAACAATAAAAATCAACAAAACAAACAAAACATCATTCTCGATTCACACACCTAACAACAAAACACCTAAGACTATAAAGATTAAACAAATACACTCAATCATTGTGAACCCTAATCCTATAAACACTAATTATTCTTTCAATCCTTTCTTCATCAATCCAAACACAAAAAAAGTGACTGAATAACATCAAAATACACCACAAATCATATAAAAACAGAGAAAAAGCAAAGTGTTGATTCTTATCCACTCAAAAAAAGAATTGCCATCTTTTTCTTATCACCAAAAGGGGCAAAATCAAAACTCAATCAAGAATTAATTCAATCATTTCAGACAAATCCATCCAGATAATCACACAAATCAATTCTGCTGATGTCACATCAAATAACGCATGCAAGAATCAACCCTAATCCAACAAAATCAAGCTCTTAAGTCTTATCCAAATTCCAGATTGCCTTAAATTTCAAGAACAAACCCTAGAATTTCAGCATCAAAGGTAGACTCATGGAATCCCTTCATCACCACAATCAATTTGCATATATGTATATATATTATATATATATACTGATGAATATTCATTGGCTGAAAATTGGACGCAATGATGAATGTAACAGCCAAAATCAGATTGAAATTTCATACCCAAAACCGCCGCGAGCCTCTCGACCTTTTCCGGCGACGGCACAACGCCGGGGCCGCAGTCGGCGAACACTTCCTTGCAAGTGTCGTATAACCGCTGAACCGGCGACGGTTTCTTCTGCCTCCGATTGCTCTTCCTCGATTCGCTGCTCCCTTTCCCCTTCCTACCGCCCTGATTTTGCTCAATTCCCATTTGCATCAAATCAATCTCAGAAATCAGGACCTCCGCCGTCGACGCGATAGTGAAATCGAGCGCCGGGCAGTTTCAAATATACCTGACGACGCGATTGTGCAGAAACAGCGATGGGGGCACACTGGTTTCAGTAATTCGTGGGGAGGATAAAAAAATTGGAACAGTGGATAAGAAATTGAGCTTCTCCTTATCCCATTTTGCGCATGGAGGATCACAGCAACGGTAGATTTTGCATAAATGGGGATGAGGTTGAAGGAAGCCATGAATTGAAGGATTCTGGAGACTGGAAATGGAAAACCATGGGCAAAGATGAAACCAGTGGGCTGTAAGGGAGATTCTGGGGAAGTCCAGGGAGCTGAGAGCCGGGTAGATCTGGACCATTCATTGTATTGGATTAGACTTTGATTTTGTGTGACCCACTGAATCAACGGTGTAAATTGGTTCAGTATTGGAGTCCAGGGTGGTTTCATATGTTGGTCACGGTGTTCGTAAGAGCGGATTTATCTTTATTTTATATTTTTCTTTATTTTTACTTCAAGAGCAAACGGTGGTGAATTTCTTAAATTTATTAAAATTAAAATCTTAAGATTTTTTTTTCTTTCTTTTTAATGTATTATAAAATAGTAAATTTAATTAAATGTTATTTATCTATTTAATACTACTGCATTATTTGTCGAAATTTATCTCTATTTTATCGGACAATTTTTTTTAAAAAAAAATAGATAAAAATAAAATTATTTTATAAGAGAATTAATATTATTTTACTAAAAAATATTTTTCTTTATTTATAATTGAGTTGGGAAAACTTCTAATCCACATGCCTCATTGGTAAGTGTTACGAGATCTTTTGTATTAGAACCCATGGTTATGGACCAAATTTGTTTCTCACCTTCTGCAACTAATTATTTTTATTTTTTTTTTTCTGAATTTTGAAAATTAAGGGACAAATATTAATCAGAATTGACGTAAATCTCAACAATCAAGAATTAAAAATTGACTTGATATAGAATATACGGAATCTCACAAAAGGATTTTCTTTTTGAATTATTTTTTTCAAAGAAATTTTTTAAATAAGTCGTATCTTACTCGGACCAATAAAGGAAAATCGATACTCAATTTAAAGTGAGTAAACAAAATTCAATCTTTTGAGTATTTCTCTCGGCTCCGTCGTACAAGATCTTTGCTCTTTCCCTTCTTCAAACTCAAACTCGTATTTTTCATAGAAAAATCGTATTATGAAATATGGAAAAAAATTATTGGCTTATCATGGTGACCTTGATACGGAATTGGAACTGTCAAGACAAAGTTTGAAAATGTCAAAATTTTTATGATTTCATCATGTCTAATCCAATAACGAAAGTTTCATAAGGGGACATAATATAAATTTAAATATCAAAAGAAATATATATTAGTACCTATGAATTAAAATATTGTAAATTTATTTATAGTTTATTTGACCTAATTAAAGTCAAAATAAGTATGAACTGCCTTTGTACGGTTATCCGGGATGATTGTGTGAAGGTGAATTGGTAATTGTAATTTTGTATGTAAAAGAGTAATTTGTTCACAATTTATTTATTTGTAGTTTGAAATTCTGTATAATTTTTTTTTTTTTTTATGTGACTTTTAAAAATTGTTTGACGCTCCATCATATTTTTTAAAATATTGCATCAAATTTCCGTACCATCTATAGAGCGTATCAGATATAGCCAATAATGTAAATTTCAAAGTTGGCAGACTTTATCCACGTAATATTATTGGCGTGTATAGTGTATACTCTGTTAAGGGTAGACAGTGGGGTTTTGATGCAATATTCTGAAATATACGAGAGGGTTACACAATTTTTAAACCACAAGGTAAAATTACGCGGAATTTTCAAATCATAAGTGGATTTTTGAAATATTTCGACTATTACAAAATAATATAGTGTATGCACATTGAGTTTGTTCACTTTGTGTTTTTTTATGAATATATTTTTTATGTTAGATATGAAAAAAATTATATTTTTAGTAATATGAAAAATAATATTTTATGTTGAATTGTTAATTTTTATAAAAGAATAAAATACATTCATATGCATTATATATTGTATTGATGTATATATTAATTTTTTTTATTAGTATTTACGAAGAATTGTTATACTAAAATCTCAACTCAATATATATAAATATATGTGATTAAGGATGCATTAAGTAATGTTGAACAACTTCCCACTTTCATTAGTTAATTACTTAATTGATTTGTCCAAAGTCCGTAATAATTTTTAGCTCACGACTTTAGTTATATTTAAGTCCGAACAATTGAAAAAATCTCAGTTCACATATTGACACAATGCATTTCTACTCACCAGAATTTAATTTCAAGAAATTTCGAATTTAATTTCATTCCGTAATTAAATTTCATCATCTATTTGAACCGATTTATTGTAGAAATTAAATCTACAAATTCACCTTGAGCTTGAAATAAATTACTTGAAACTATTTTAAAGTATTGTTGACATTAAATTTTGCAAGATTTCAAGTCCTAATAATATTTATTAAAGATATATAAAATGCGCATACACTCATATATTCTTGTTTACTATTTTTGTCCGTTTCAATACAATAGTCTTGTTTACTATTTTTGTCCGTTTCAAAATAATAATCTATTTTCATAAATAATTGTATCATTATAAAACTATCTATACTATTCATTATTATTACACAATTGTCACTGCCTTTTACACTAATACACTCACAAGGACAAAAATGTTCATAGAGACATTTTACCTATATTTTTTTATTCATTATCAATATAATATTAATATTTCTTAAATTTCGTGTCCAACACAACTAATACTATAGTTTCGGGACATAGGGAGTATATAATATATTTTCTTTACCCACACAAAAGTTCATTATACTTTTTTCCATTCAATAACTAAGAAATTGCAAGTAAAGACCAAACATGGGTATAATTAATCTTGTCACTAAGCAACTTAAAATATTTAAACACTGTTGATACAACCATAGTTTTTATTATCATTTTAAAACTGTTTATTATATATTGTAAATTAAATACTAGTAGAATTATAAACAATAAGATATTCAATATATAATATTTAATTTTATTTGTATTTATGTATTTTTTATTATTCAACATATTATGAGTGTTTTTCACTAAATTTTTTATGATATATCTTTAGGATTTAGCATTATAACAAAAAAAAAAAAAAAACAATATATATATATATACTCTTACAAAATATATATCTCAAATTAAAAATACAAAGACAATCATACTCTATATTTAATTTTAGTTTATATTTAAAATATTTTATTCTAAAACCAGTAAAATATAAAATAAAACAAAAGTCATAAACAATCATATTCCATTTTTGTATTAATTTATTTTACAAGTATTTTGCAAAATAAATCAAGGCATGGGAAATTGTTCAATTTAATCCGAGAACTAAAAATTCGTACAATTTAACCTGGGAATTGAGAATTGAAAAACTGTATTGTTTGGTATAAATATTAAAGCCCCTAAGGATGTGTTTGTTTGTTTGGGATTTGGATTTTGAGTTAAGATTTGAATAATAAAATTTTGAATTTGAATAGTTGTATGATGTGATATAAATAGGCGTTGATGTGATGTTTTGAATGTAAAATTAATTTTTAGTATAATATAAAAAATGAAAAATAGGTATTTGATTTGATGTTTTCAGAGGAAAAAAATAAAATGAATAATGTATTTAAAATCTAATTTCCCAGCGGCACAACATCTACGAATTCACCTTGAATTGGAGACTTGTGTGTGTTTAATTTGATATGCCAATATTCATTATCTGGACGAGTCAAATTAGTTATCCCTAACCACAATATTATAAAAAATAATGAAATTAAAAAGGAAAATAAAAAAACATCAATCCATCTTAATAAAAACAAATCAAACATTTTCACACATCTTATAACAATTTTCACTATTTCACATAAATATAGAAAATAGAACTATTCAACGGTGAAGTAAAAATTTATGTATCCTTATTATTTAATTTGATCATTTTAATATCTTCTTTGCACAATTTGGATGTCGTTAAGTTAATTTTAGTTTGACCTCTTAATTAAATTAAAATCTTAATATAATGGTTAGTTATTATTTATTTATAGAATCATTACCAACTATACATTATATATAATTTCTAACGGATAAAAAAAAAAAAAAAAATAGAATTTGGACAAATAAAATGAAAAAAGAATCAAAACAAAATTTAACAAGATAAATGAATAATCAAGGGTTTTCCCTAGCACATGATGTATTTTTCGAATCACACTAAACAAATCATATATGACAGTAGATTTCGAAGAACTTTTAAGTGTCGGCAATGTTAAGGAAGAAACATTATATTTGCTCTTATATATATACTTGTAGAGTGCATTTATTTGACAAAAATTTTCATTCTATGTAAATAGAGTGTCAGTAGCTCAAAATATCAAGTCCAAGTAATTATTCAAAAATAAAAAATAAAAAATCACCAGCTAAACAAGCACACAATCATTTGTCAGTGTCAAAGATAGAAAGGATAGATACACATAAAAAAAAAGAAGACACATACACCTCAAATCAATACAAATTTATTAATGAAAACTGAACTGTGAAAGAAGCAAAACAAGCAAATTCGATAAAAAAAGGGACACAAAAAATTATTTTACACAAAGGGGGATGGAATAAGAGAGTAGTGTTAGCAGCAGCAATAGTACCTTGTGAATTCAATTCAAAATATAAAAACAACACTGTCGTGGACTCGGGACTTCTGATTTTGCGCCACACATTCTGATATCCACATCAAGTTCCTGATCTCCTGCTCTCTCAACCTCATATAAGCAAAGAACACGCCGTAATGGAACTGCACAATCGAATTTTTTTTTTACTTCATCAAGGAATTGAAGATCGAGGCTGCACTATGTGCCTCAGCCACAACTTATAAATAAAACCAATTATCACTTTGATAGATTATGATGAGCAAAGCAAGGCAAACCTGCTGTTCGAATGCCAAGCAAAGTCGTTTTACTTCCTCTTCGTAAAAGGCCTTGTCCAGCATCTGACTTTCTCCATAGGATAGCTTAGAGAATATCGACTGGTAAGGAGGATATTTTTCCATGGCGCCACGAACCTAAGGAGGTTATAGTAAATGGGCACCACAACAAATAACACTTGAGATTGTTTTAGGTAATTGAGAAACTAAAAGCACAGTAAAGTGGTAAGAAATTAATACTCCCTCCACCGCCAAATTTGTGCTCAAGCATATGGGCAGAGCGTATTAATAAAAATAAGCAATAATTGATATTATTTTGCCTTTTATAGTAAGAAAAAATACTCAGAAAAGATATATAATTTTTTACTAAAAAAGAACGAAAATATTTTTTTTTGACCACACACAAAAAAAATATATATAGATTTGCATGACAGAAAAAATAATAATAACACAAACTAAAGTAAATTGATAGGGTCACAATCGGTCAGCATTCAATGTTTCGAAAAGGGGAAAGAGTACTCTTTAAATTATGAATACAAGAGTCAATATGCAAGAATATATAGACCAGCCCCAACCTCAATGGTTCAAGAGTTCACGAATATGATACACAGAAAACAAAAAAAAAAAAAAAGAAAAAAGAAAAAAAGAGAAGCCTGCGCCATGTTTATAATGCACGTTTTTTTCCTTTTCTCAATCATACACACAGCAATGAGAAAAAGAAGTACCTGATCTATATCCTCACACAAGGCAAGCTCCTCATGACCGTAAGGATATCTGTGAAAAAGGTTGTCATTAGTGAATTGGAACAAGAGTTCAAACAAGAGAACGAGACCTATTTAAAAAAAATTAGTGTAAAGTCCTTACAGTAGGCCAAAATTAGAGTACAAGTTCCTACGATCATCTCGTGTTAGCTCGGTGCCAATGCTGGACAAAGAGATGTCAAGTAATCAGAAAATGAACCCCGGAAAATTTATAAAGAAGTGGAATTTAGAATAGTATTGAACCTGTTTATTGTGATATTAACTGCCCTTCGGTCGGCTTCAAAGGCCAGGAGGTCAGACATAATCTCAGCAGTGGCACCTCCAAGCTTCTACTAGTAAATTCACATGTTAAGTGTAAATTTCTGAAGAATAAGCCTTTCAAATATCAATATTGAAAAATACACCCATGAATAAATATTTCATAGTAGCGTCATTAGACCATACATCTTCCTTGGTATATCCAGACAATAGGTAGGAGCATAAACTGAAACATTCTAGAGCTACAAAGATAGTTCGAAAGCTTTTTGATCATTCAAAAATGTCTGTCATACCTTGCAAAACCTGTAGAAATCCTCGAGGTAGGCCTTGTAGAGAGTGTTCCTCATAATTTCTATGTTCATGTCGTCCAAATCCTGCAAGAAATCATACAAGAGAAACCACATCATGAAATAAATAATATAAATAAGAGAAAAAAATAGTAGCTTCAGTTTTACTCCATTCCACTCTTTGTGAAATTTGGTACTCACCCTGTCCGCAAAAATAGACTATTATCATTTTAATTTGACCACCAAAAGTATGTTGATGCCATATTTAGTAAAAAAGTTCAACCCTTCTTTAAATTTTTACCTATCATTTTATTATCTATTTACACCATTGTCATTGACGGACCTATATATTTCTTACGCTCAGCATACTTTAATCTAAAAATTACATTACTAACCCTATGAAAGTTCCAATTTTAACCCTATGATAAGAAAAAAAGTATTATAAAGCCACTCCCTCCGACATTTGGAGAAAATACATGGATCAGTTACTACTTTTAAATGATAAGAGCAGTAATAACCTCTGAAGTGATGCACTCGGAGAAGTAGGGCGCCAAGGGCGTGTCAACAAGCACCAGCCTATAAAGCTCTCTCATATTCTGTGCAACTGCTAGAGTAGCGATGCTGTGAAATAAAAGATTGTATTTATACATGTTACCAATCCTAATTATGATGAAATGGTTTACACGGGAACTATACCTGTCAAACATCCCAAGTGGATGGCATTTCTCCAACAATTCCTGAACATCCCTCTCATGCAGTGTTCCGGTAACTATTAGCACAACATTGTCAATCATGTGTCCGTATCTATATACAAAATGGAAAATTTCAAATCAAGATTCCAGAATGGAAACAAGATGTTTAACATGCAGAGAGAAAACGGAAAATAAGTACTCAACAAGAAGTGTGTAAATAATGCCATGTCCCCAAATATCGAAAAGTACCATGACAAAATTTGAAGGTCCAGCTTAGAGTCTTCTCGTTTTAACAAAATTTGAAGTTTTATATGGTTAATTTCCTTATAAAAATTAATAGAGTCCTGGAAAAGAAGATGAAATATTGAAGAAATATCCCTTATATATATATATATATTAATAATTGTACTTCAAGTTTCCAACAGAAACCATAGTTGGATGATTGAAGGATCTCAAACTACTTGATATGAACAAATAAACCCCTACAATATGCTGACCATGAACTATTCAAGTACATTACAAGGAACATTGATACATAAAATAGATATGTGATCAAGTATGTAGATTTCACAAGAGTGAAAATGTGTAACAAATCGAGAAAGAAATTAACATACGTGATATACTCCAGAAAGGTCGACAGAGGCTCCGTGGCTTGGGATAACATGTGCTTGTACTCATCAACAAGTTTAAGGGTGCATTTCTCCACAATTGTAGTTGTATGCAATGGAGAGGGTTCTGAAATTTGACAAGACAAAAAAAAAGGATTACCACATTGGCACCTAAATATTCCGCCAAGTAACAGATCTAACAACACTTCTGGCAAGAACTAAACACAATAAACGCCTAAAACGTTTGGTCGTCTAAAATACTAAGGCATAACCACGACGTAGGCTAATTAACCATAGATAGCCTGTTAAATTTTCACAAGCTGTTTGAATATGGCACATGTATGGTAGAGTTTGAATTTGGCAACTAGAACTATAAAAAAATCCGAACCAATGACAGTGAAGAAACCTAATATCATAGTTGTCAATCTCAGATAGCATAAAATAACAATCAACTTTTAAAATACTATAGTGGAATAGTATTAGGATGACCGCTATTTAAAAATATAAATATAGAAATAATTATATGTACAACTTTACAATAAAAATGCATAAGAAAAAATCTATAGATTAATATTATATTATAATTCAAACCAATAAAATTGCAAACGATATATAATCGGGTAAACTGTTTTTTTAGTCCCGTAACTGGACCCCCTTATCATTTTAGTCCCGTAAGTGGAGCCTGTCGTAAATTAGTCCTCCGGCGCCGGAGATGCCCGCGTGGCTCGCCGGAGGTGACGTGTCCGCCAGGTGTCGCTGACCTGGCGGACACATGGATTTTTTTTAATTTTTTTTTAAAACTTATTTTTAATTTATTTTAAATTTTATTTGTATTTTTTTATTTTTTTATTTGGTCCAATTAAAAAAATGAAAAAAATGACAAAAAAATGAAAAGAAATAAATAAATCCACGTATCCGCCAGGTGTTGCTGACTTTGCGGGACACCTGGCGAACACGTCACCTCCGGCGAGCCACGCGGGTATCTCCGGCACCGGAAGACTAAAAAAACACTTATGAAACTAGTTTGCGACAGGCTCCACTTACCTGACTAGGGGTCACTAAAAAAACAGTTTACCTCATAGATAGTTAGTTATATAAGCAAAATCAATTAAACCACACTACTTTGATAGATAGATAATCAAAGTCAATCAACTTTAAAATCTAATATATAATTTCTTCCCTTCATTTTCATCATCTTCACTGCTACTCTTGTATGAATATTCTTCATCTTCTTCTTTATTTTCATTCATTTTTTCGATTGTATATTAGTTACATTGCAACATATTATTTCCCTTTCTGGTGCTAGAAGTAACTATAATATACTAATATTATAATAGTATAATCACTGCATAAATTAGCATATAAAAGAAAATTCTAGAGGATAAACTCAACTTCCAAACTACAGTTTGCTACTCCAACCTTATGGTTTGTTTGGTTTTAATTTGATTGTAGTGGTGATTTGAGTTTCTCATCACTTAGGCATAATTCATCATTGTATCCAGCAAACAACTCAATTATAAGCAAGAAATAACGAAAAATAAATGGTGGAAGATACTAAACTAAGGAATTCAGCATTCCGATCATATTTTCAGCTAAGCAAGCGTATGCAAACAAATTAATTCGGAACAACTCTACAACTCCAAATTGAACGCTCTCATTCACACTAACATCAATTAAATACAACGAACACAGCGCAGTACAGAAAAAGGAAACGAATTTTAAAGCACGGCAACTAAGGCAACAATTAGACCAACCGTTCTGCAGGTAGGGCCCGTACTCGGTGGCGGAGAGGTGCATTTTGATGTCGTCCAGCGTTTCGCATTGGCACAGGTTGTTGTAATCGGCAGCGGTGAGAAGCCCCGAACGGTACCCTCGTACGATGGCCTCCAGGTAACCGCCATGGATGTTGAAGGTCAGCGCTTCGAATCCGTACATTTTGTGGCGCAATTACGCCCGATGGCCCTTATTGCGAGAACCCTAGGACGAAGAAAGGGGCCCAAGGGAATGGCGTTGGGAAGAAAGAGAGGAAGAAGAGAGAGGAGTAGTTTCGATTGACAGCGAACGTAATCAAATCGAAGAAACGGTTCAATGAGGGTTAAAATCGAATTTCCAAAATTTTCGGGGTCTAATTGCAATTTCTTCTAAGCAATTCATTGAAAGACGACAAGGCGGCCCAAATCTGGTTGAATATAAAATTAGATTTTCGGCCCATTTTAACAGGAGCCGAACTCCCGGGAGCTGATATGAATCGTTACAAAGAAGAAACGGTTCAATGAAGGGTAAAATCGATTTTTCAAAAATTTTCGGGGTCTAATTAAAATTTCTTCTAAGCAATTCATTGTAAGACGAAAAGGCGGCCCAAATCTGGTTGAATATAAAATCAGATTTTTGGCCCATTTTAATAGGATCCGAACTCCCAGGAGCTGCTATGAATTGCTCCAAAGAAGAAACGGTTCAATGAGGAGTAAAATCGAATTTTCCAAAATTTTCGGGGTCTAATTGCAATTTCTTCTAAGCAATTCATTGTAAGACGAAAAGGCGGCCCAAATCTGGTTGAATATGAAATCAGATTTTCGGCCCATTTAACAGGAGCCGAACTCCCGGGAGCTGCTATGAATTGTTCCAAAGAAGAAACGGTTCAATGAGGGGTAAAATCGAATTTTTCAAAATTTTCGGGGTCTAATTGCAATTTCGTCTAAACAATTCATTGAAAGACGAAAAGGCGGCCCAAATCTGTTTAAATATAAAATCAGACTTCGGCCCATTTTAACAGGAGCCGAACTCCTGGGAGCTGCTATAAATCTTTCCAAAGAAGTGGTCCTGGTCATGGTGCGAACTCTCCCGTTATTGTTGTACCGGATTTGACCGAGAACAAAGTCGATCTTCTGCTCGCGCACAACAGTGCACGGCGATCATCTGCACTCTCCGGCGTCGTTTTTTCCGGCAATGACGGATCATGTATTCAATAGCATCTCCCTTGGAGGCCGCGGAGGAACCGTGAGTTTCTGATTCTTCGATCGTGTCCTTTATCTGATCACTATGCTGGTTTATTTTGATTGCGAATTCTATGTTATGACGCCTAGGAGACGTTTATGTGATGATGATGAATCTGGTTTGATGTTAGTTCCGTTTCGAGTTATTTTTCGTCCTTATTCCAGGGGCTTTATACGGATGATTTTCGAGGATTTTAAATTTCTATTGTGAACTAAGGCTGAAGTTTTGGATTCTTATGTTAATTATGACATTTTACTTTTGATTATTCACAATCACCGTTCCGTGGTTGATTTCAGCAGATGGAATACAATATGCTGAAGCGATTGGTGTTTCTGATGAGATTTTTCATGTTTCAAGTAGCTTGCACAATGTTGATTTTACCAAACTGAGAAATCAAAATGAAAATGGAGATGGAGGACTAACATAAGGATTTCATGGCGATGTCGTCTGTTTCTTTTGAACTGATATGATACTGAGAACTGATAAGCTGCAAAATTTCTTAGCTGTTCTGTCCTTTTCAGTTGCAGAATAATCTCATACATTTTAGGTTGCAAACTGCAGAATCCAGGGCAAATTAAAATTTTTGCAGGAGGTATAGTGTGGAAGAAGCAAGGAGGTGGGAAGGTAGTTGAAATTGATAAAACTGATTTGTTAGGCCTTACATGGATGAAGGTTCCTCGGTCAAATCAACTAGGTGTTCGAACTAAAGATGGCCTTTATCATAAGTTCACCGGTTTTCGAGATCAGGCAACTCATCTTCACCTATCTCTGTTTTTTATTCTTCATACATATTAGAGGAATGATGGTTACCTGTGATTAATTAGCTTACTTGTAGCGTTCTCATTTTTGTATGTTGTTTTCAGAACAGAAATGCGAAATCCCACATATATATACAGACTGAGATCTCATTTGTGTTCCAGATAATTTGTTTGATTAATTTTAATCAACCTCTTAAATGTCTTTAATCAGGATGTGACGACTCTTAATACATTGTTTCAATCCAATTATGGGAAAACTCCAGAGGAGAAGCAGCTCTCCGTTAGTGGAAAAAACTGGGGTGACGTTGATTTAAATGGTATACGAAATCTTGTCCTTGTGTCTTTATTCATCAATTTATATGCTTATTTTGTTATCTTTGGAGTATGTCTTTTTGGAAATTATAGGTCTTCTTAACTATGTACATTCATGAAAAATACATTTCATTCTTAACGGGGTAGGCAAAACAAAAATAAATAGGACAACAACACAACGATGTGGCTGAAGCATGTGCATATTTATAGAATGTAGCATGCCGCAGGTAGCTTGTGGCATTTGCGTGTATGAATATGGGCAAGAGTATAACTATGAGCGGTGACTTTCTGCTGGATGAACTCATTTCAGTCACTTCTTCTGTCTGAGTTAGAGAGAAAGAGAGTTAGTTTATTGTCTTTGTTGATTATGAGAATTCCTGTATGGTAAGCTCTTGTTTAGTGGTGTAAATTTTGGATTGAGGATATGTTTTATCGGTTGGATGGATAGATTATGTTGCACATGCAGACTACCATTGTGGCAGATATAACTTGGGTTATCTGGATTAAGATAGACTTCCACTTGTGCTATCACATTTGTAAACTGCATTAATTATCTCGAGTTGATTCATTGTATGTTTATAGTTTAGTATCATAACTATATTTTATGTCTGAGCCCTACTTCACTGAAGTCTCAATTGAAGCTGTACTTCAATGACTTGCTTTGCTTTTTACATTTCTGAAGTGTTGAGTAGGCTATGGCTCTGCGAAACATTCTATCTAAAATACTCCGGCACATTCTCTAAACTGTCCTGAGTGCACGTCGCATATGCTTTAATTTTAGACCAAATGTTCTTCCTTGTTCAGTCTTTTAGGTGCAAATAGTTTAATATCAACTATTGTATCTCTAAAATTTTTATTTTTTCATCTTCCCTCAGGGAATATGCTTACATTTCTTGTGGGTAATAAACAAGCGTTTGAGATATCCCTAGCAGACATTGCTCAGACTCAGCTTCAAGGAAAGAATGATGTCATGATGGAATTCCACGTAGATGATACAACTGGGGCCAATGAGGTACTTACTATATATTTCATACCATAAGCAGTATTTTAGATATCCGACATGGTGCATATTATTGGATCCTTGCACAGGCCTTTCTTGTGGAATTATGAACTTTAACCACGAGTTGTTTCCTTTATTGGTTTTCTTGACGGATAATTCATGGTCTCTTTGCATGTTTGGCAGAAAGACTCATTAATGGAAATAAGCTTCCACATCCCCAATTCAAACACTCAGTTTGTTGGGGATGAAAATCGACCTTCTGCTCAGGTAGTGCCTTTCAAAAACTTGACCCATATCAATTAGGTTGCAGCTCACAAAAACTGTATTGTCATGTAAAATTACTTTTGTGTAGGTTTTCCGGGACAAGATTGTTTCAATGGCAGATGTTGGAGCGGGAGGTGAAGAAGCTGTTGTTACCTTTGATGGAATTGCCATTCTCACTCCTAGGTAAGTCATTAAAATCTAGATAGTATGATGTCGTTCCAAGCTGGTCGCGTCTCAATATTACCGTATTATTTTTTCCTAACTTTAATCAAATGTAGGGGACGATACACTATTGAACTCCATCTGTCATTTTTGCGTCTCCAAGGTCAAGCCAACGACTTCAAAATTCAATACAGCAGTGTTGTCCGAGTTTTTTGGTTGCCTAAGGTTCTTCATTCTGCTCATTCTTTAAAATTAGTGAACATTAATGCATATTGGTGTGACTTGAAATTTTTTTTCACCTTTTCATTTTAGTTCCAAGAAAATAAAAAAGAATGAATCGACCTATGCGAATGCCTGCTTAATCATCTCTCCTCTGCAGTCTAACCAACCTCATACCTTCGTCGTTGTTACACTTGATCCACCAATTCGGAAGGGCCAAACTTTATATCCCCATATCGTGATGCAGGTAGTTTTGTTTGATAATATATAGCAATCCACGATCGCACGCACACACACATATATATATATGTATACATTCATATGCATTTTTCTTTCATTGATTGATATTAGATATAAGATGTATGTAATACCCTGTCAAGATATGACTTGAGGGTGCAAGTAATGCTCGTATTATTGCGTTGATATTTCTTTGGTTTTTCGAGTGTAGTTTGAGACAGATATTGTGAAGGATACCACCTTGTCGATGAGTGATGAACTTTACAATCTCAAGTATAAGGAAAGGCTCCCTCTAACACACAAGGTATTTAAAGCACGACGCTCAACGTTTGAATTCGAGGTCGATAATAACCTCCCAATGAATTGAATATAGGTCGACAGAGTACCATTTTGGGAGCGCTAAACTGCATTCTCTTATATACATGTTCTTTTTTGTTTTATATTTTTCGTACAGGGACTGGCACATGAGGTCTTTATTACAATCCTCCGGGGCTTGTCGGGCGCCAAAGTCACTAAACCCGGAACCTTCCGTAGCGACCAGGACGGCTATGCTGTGAAGTCGTCTCTTAAAGCCGAAGATGGAGTACTTTATCCTCTCGAAAAGAGCTTTTTCTTTCTGCCGAAACCGCCCACTCTTATTCTCCACGAGGAGGTATAATCCAACGTTCGACTATATTTGTGCTGTATACATACACTCGTACACGTAACTAAGAATCGTAATTGTGATTGTTTCGAATTCAGATAGACTTTGTCGAGTTCGAGAGGCACGGCGCTGGAGGTTCGAACATGCATTACTTTGATCTTCTTGTTAGGCTTAAGACCGAGCAGGAGCACCTTTTCCGTAACATTCAGAGGAATGAATACCACAAGCTCTTCGAATACGTCAAGTGAGTCCAATCTCTTACCCTTCGATGTTTTTCTTTTATTTCGTTTCGAAATACGTCGTAATGGAGGTCGGAACCAACCCGTGTCGGGAGCAGTCACAAAGGCCTGAAAATCATGAACCTGGGAAGCGATAAGGCCGGCGTCGGAGTTGCTTCTGTTCTTAATGAGCATGTCGACGATTCTGTTGACCCACATCTCGAGCGGATCAAGAACGCCATCAGCGACGAAGAGGTGACTAATTTTCGACATTTATATCAATTTGAACATACGAGCAATCTCGTCACAAAGTACCTGTTTTCTTTTTCCAGGACGAGGATTTCATTGCTGACAAAGATGACGAAGGCTCCCCGTCCGACTCCGGCGAGGAAGATTCCGACGCCAGCGAGAGTGGAGGCGAAAAAGAGGTCAAAACTATTCTCTACTTGCGACTTTTATCTAATTTTCGATTACCCTCATATCGAACCATGCCGATTCAGGTACCGGCTAAAAAGAAATCGAAAAAAGAAGCAGCTGCGCCAAAAGCGCCGGCACCATCGAATAAAAAGAAGGCCAACGATGGCGACGACGACGGATCAAAGAAGAAGAAACCGAAGAAGAAAAAGGATCCAAATGCGCCGAAGAGGGCGATGAGCGCCTTCATGTTCTTCTCCCAAACCGAACGAGACGTACATTTTATCTTTCGCTTTCGAATAACTAACTACATTTCAAAATTTACATCATACTTAGCTGATTATCGATGTTTTTCCTTTTTTGGCTTGCGATGTAGAACATGAAGAAGAGCAACCCGGGAATTTCGTTCACGGAGCTCGGGAAAGTTCTCGGCGAGCGATGGAACAAAATGACGGGTATTGAAAATCGAAGGCTACGTTCTCTTTTAAATTTTTGTCAGACTTTTTTACTGAAAATCGAAGGCTATGTTCTCTTTGAGAATATATATATATTTTTTTTCTGATTTTTTTGCGATGTCGAATATAAAAATATATATATTTTTTCTTACAAAATATGGCAGGGGAAGAGAAAAGTCCGTATGAAGCAAAAGCAAGGGCGGACAAGAAACGTTACAGTGAGGAAATAAGTGAATACAATAATAGTAAGAACAATGCAGATGCCTCAGCCTCTGTTCCTCCCACTGCTTAGCTTCGAATCTTCTGTCAGTGTTTGTTTGGATGATTTCATTTTATTTTTGCTATTGACGTCTTTTCTTTAAAAAAATAAAAAATATCATTTCAAATACTGATATTTGTATTTATTTATATTACACTACGAATCAATTTAAATATATGTTAATAGGATTTATCTCTAATAAATAAATTATTTAAAAATTTTACTATTGAAGATTTCAAACAAACTTCCAAACATACACATGTATGTTGTTTATATTTTTTTTTCTTTTTTAATTTATGTCTGTGATGATCATTTAACAAAAATTTGGAACGGGCATTATATATTATATTATAACATAATATATGTTATTTTATAACGTAATATATGTTGTATAATGTATAAATATGGTCATTCATTCGTATAACATATATTGATCTGATGAAATATATTGACTTTATCAAATCAACACAGAATTTACAACCAAGAGTTTGTTTGTTTGTGTTTATTAAGTTTTGAGAATAATAAATTTTTTTTATTGAAATGGTTATATTTTATTCCCTTCTTCTCGGAATGAATTATATTGGAGTATATATTTTTTTTTTTTATTTTAACTTGTTCTATTTTATTTGACATATTTTTATATTTTGGTAAACTTTATTAATATAAAGTTTGCTATTTAAATATAAATATGTGTTAAACTATAAATATATTATTTTAAATACAATAATATGCTAATTTTTCAATGTATTTGTTGTGTGGTAAATTGAGTTTATTATATTATTTTAAACGTAATAATATAGTAGTTTTGTAATGTGCTTATTGTACGATAAAATTTATTCATTATTATATACTCCTTCCGTCTCACATAATTTGTCCCTATTTTTTATTTTCGTCTGTCTCACTCCTTTTTATTTTTGGAAATCTAATTATGCACTTTAATTGCATTTTAAATTTTAAATTTTATAATTTTCTTAATTTTAGTTAAACTATTTACTTATCTTAATTTTAATCTATAATTTAATAATTATTTTTACTAATACACTTCTTAATTACTTTATATTATACTTTACCTAAATTCCCTGTCTACGTGGAGTAATTAATATATTGACAAAGAAAATAAAGAGTGTTAAAAATACATTAACTTTGGTGATTATTTAAGTTTCTAAAAAGATAAAATTAGAAACTAGACAAATAGATAAACAATATCTACTAAATAAAACAAAAAAAGAGAGAAAAAAAGAAGAATCTACTAAACTATTTAGCAAATCCTCGTAATATATAAAATTAACAAAATATTACTTAAACACTACCATACAACTACTAAAATAAGAAGAAAAAAAAATGTTAGTTCGCAATAGAATAAATTAGAAAATACGAATTTATTGAAATAATTTTACAATCTAACTGGACCACGATTGGATGATGCACAATAAATCAACACTTTGCTCACGTATTTCCGCGTCGGCAGGATAACTGCCGAATTATTGATGTTGTTTTACAATTTTTAAATTAAAATATTATACTCTTTATTTTTATATTTTAAATTATAAGTTATGAATTATTATAAGTTATAATTATTTTTTGTTTTTATTATTAAAATTACAAATTAATTTTATTTTAAAATTTTTACTATAAATTTTGAAATATATATAATAATAATTATTAAAAATGTAGTATATTAATTTCTTATTTATTATTGTTAATTTTAATTAATTTTTTAGATATTAAAATTTGATTACTTTGTATAAATTTTAATAATTAAAAATATAAATTTTAAATTATAAATATATTCTCACTCCGTCCATTCCTTGACAATCTATCAATTTTTTAATTTCGATATGTTTCATAACAAATTATCATTTTTATTTTTAGCAATTGTATTGTTTACGTACCGAATACACTTTCAATTTACACTATATTATACAACACTAATATGGTTAGTTTATTTTTTATTTTTACCTTTATTTCTAATACATCCAATATAATACTCCCTCTGTCCCAGAACAAGGGTGGTGTTTGTTTTTTGCACATAGATTTTTTAATATTAGTATTATAATGGATTGTAGTGCAAATGAAGAAAATACCCCTATTAGTATTGTATAATATAAAAGTAATGACATTTGTGTAATATAGTGTAAGTTGGAAGGGTATTTATTATGTTAGGTAGGTAGTACAATTAGTAAATTAGGAAATGATAATCTTGTTTTGGGACGGACGAAAATGGAAAATGACAACCTTTAAATGAGACGGGGGGAATATTAATACTTATAAAATTCCGTAAACAAAGCAAGCGAATAAATATATATGAAAATGAATGAATACTACATATCAAATAAGTTTGATAAAGAAGTAAACATGATAGTAAATATGACTATATACAAAATAGAGTCATAAACATGGCCATATTAAGAAGAAGGTCGTTACTATAAGCAAGAATATGAAACATGAACTCATGTACGGGTAAGAATACAGTCGTGTTCAGAATATGATCATGAATAAGGGTATGAATACAACCATGTTTACTTATATCCGAGTCATCAAATACGGTTGTCTTCAAGCTTATAGGTTGTCATGAAACTAAAATTGATAATTTTTAGTTCGAATTAGATTAATTGATAAAAAGAAATTTAAATGCTATCAAAATTGATAATTGTAATATAAAATAACACAAAAATAAATATTTTATTAAAAAATTAAAATATTTTTAAAAATTTAATTAGTAATTCAGAAAATAAAAATAATAATACTTATGATAAATAAATATTGAACGGTAGTAATTAAACAAAAAAATATATATAAAAAATAAATTTGATTGTGGGAAGAAAATATTCTATGATAAAAAATAAATAAATAATACACATTTATAAACTACACCAACGATTGTATACACGAACAAATTCTACATAAATATACAATCAACAAAAATGATTTAATTTCTTCGGCTACATGTAAACTTGTAAGAAAAACGATTAATAACACAAAATTAAAAACCTAAACACACAAAAAAAGAAAAAGAAAAAGGGCCTTAAATAGATGATCTTATATATATATACAGACACATACGTTCATGCCCTTCTTCCTCCAACATCCATCTCCTTCCTCAGCTACTTCCAATTCCTTCTAGGGTTTGGTGATTTATCAGCAGGGAGCATCTACTCTGCACCCAAGTGCGCCGGCGAACATAGTTATATCTCCGACGAGGTCCGCCGGCCCCGGATTCACGTGGTCGTATCTGTCAGGATGCTTCGTGTACCAATCCTGCGGCCCCGACGTCACGAAATACGCTCCGCGAAGGAACAAATCGCCCTGCGACACCCACACCCAATTCCTCCACTCCGATTCCGGCGCAATTTCCCTCTTCGTCACCTGCAGCGAGGTTAGGTTAATTTCTAGGGTTTTGAGAAATGGACTTGTTAATTGATTTGGGGGAAATTTGGTTTAATTGATATGTATTTTTTTTTTTTGCCTGCTTGGCGAAGGGGAGATCCGCGATGTATCTGTTCCCCTGGCTGATAATCGTCGGATGCTGGCTGCCTCCAATGGCGTACATCTTCCAGTGCGTGTAATCGTTGTTGACGATGTGGATGTAGCCGTACCGTACTCTCGGCATCCTCTGCACTAACCTCTTACCAAAATGGTTGAACGCCACCGTCACCTGCATCTTCTCGTCCATCACGTAGTCGTCCGTCGCTCCGAACAGCATCGTCTGCAAACCGCCGGACGGCCGCCGGAAAATTCAATTTAAGGTACACTTTTTCAATTTGACCTAATTTAAAAAAGCAGAGTTGTTGCTTGTTGTTCAATTAATTACGTGATCGTGATCGGTGAAATGGCCATTGGAGATCGTCACGCAGGTGGAGGCCTGAACGACGTCGATAATCCCGTCGGCGCATTTCGTCATCGACAAATGGTCGAGCCACACGTCCTGAGCTCCGAACAGTGTGATCCCGTCGCCGTCGCTCTGCGTCCGCATTCCGGCGTGTTCCATCGAGTCGCGGATCAGGCCGCCGGGTGTCGAAACAATGTCGTGAATCTTCAGCCCATGGATGATCACATTCTTCACGTACTGGATCGTAATTCCGGCGCCGTAAGCGATGTGGACGGCCGCACCGCGGCCGTCGATCGTTTTATCTCCGGTGACCAAAAGCTCCTGTTTTAGCGTGATCAGCATGTTCCGATCGAAAATTATCCACAACGGCCCATCCTGAATCACGGCATGCCGGAGGGTTCCCGGCTTAGGGTTAAGCACATCCTCGTCGCTCGGGTCGGTCACCACGTAAATCGGCCCGCCTTTCCCGCCCGTCGTTTTCCGGCCGAACCCCAAAACACAATCGGCTAGCTTCGATCGGTCCCGAGCCCAATTCGGGTCGCATCTCCAACACGAGTCGATCGGGTTCGTCGCTCGGCACGGACCCGTGTACCCCTTGGACAACTCCCGCCGCGTCCCGTTATAGTCGTACCCTTGTTCCTTGAGCATTCTACGTCAAATTAATACACAATTATTATATAATAGTAAAGTATCACGTGTTCAGTAAACTTTTTAAAAAAATAAATAAATACTTATGAACGTTATGGTTGAGATGGCCGATGACTTCCTCGGGATCGGGCTCGTACGACTCGAGCGTTCGGTTAATCGAAAGTTCAGCTCGATATCGCAAAACGTCGTCGTATTCGGCGATGTTAGCCCGAATAGTCGGGATTAAAACGGCGACGGAAATGAAGAAGATCGTCAGGATCAATTTAGTGTCTTCTTCCATAGTGATATTCATGGATGACTTTTTATATATACCTATTATATATAATTTTTATATTTTTAGGTATTCCTATATAATTAATTAATTAGTTAATTAAACTAATTAAGGTTTGAACCTAATAAATAATTAAATAAGTTAACCCACCCTCCCTAACTAGGGTTTGATTTATTCTGTGGGGATTATACGTTGGGTGGTACATGAAAAAAATTGGTAGGTGTTGCTAGGACACGGCAGGTTGTATATTTATATATAATTAAATTATATATATTTAGAGGGTAGCCACAGCCATTGGTCTCCTAATATTCCTCCCACCCTCTGCTGTTTTTAGATTTAATTCTATAAATGTTTTTGGACAGGGAGGCTGTTTATTTCAATTTATTTATTTGGGAGAAAATCACGTTACGCTCACAAATGGTATTAATTATAAGTATATATATATGTATATATAGCTTCGAGTTTTCTAGTGGGCCGTTTGATTCAGGTTTGGACTAATCCAACCCATTTTATTTATGGGCCCAAAATCTGAGCATGGTATAAATTTGGGCCAGGATCGAGCTATATATCTGGGCCAAATATGGGCCTAATATTGTTTCAATTTGGAACCAGTCTCATTCAAAATTTATATTTGTTTATTTTTTTTTAATATAAAATTTGATATGAATAGAGCCGTAAACAAGTTGAACTGAGACTATTATCTTTGAGTTCGGCTGTTCGTCAAGAAATATTGGCTAATATTTTTGTTTGAGTTCGATTTGTTTAGCAATTTTATTTTATTTATTTTTTTGTGTTTACTTGGCTTGGCTAATTAGGAGAATCTTTTATTTTATTTTATTTAATTAAAGTTTAAATTAATAATAATTATAATTTTTGTTAATAAAATTAAATTTTAAAAAGAATTAAATATAAAAGTGTTAATTTAAATTTTTAATAAATACGGTTGAACGTTCGTAAATATGTTCAATTTTATTAATGAACATAATAAACTAAAATTTATGTCCGTATTCAATTCGCTTAATTTAATGAACGAGTTTTTAAAAAATTCAAACGAATCGAATTAAGTCAAATTTGTAAACAATTTTTTTTTTATTTTATTTTATAGCTCTAGATATGAGATTAGTTACATTGATAATTGGATTTTTTTTTTCTTATTACAGTAAAAGTAATAAGATTTGATTGATTAATATATAAATATGTAAAATAATTTGATATTTTTGTCGCTTATATTCTATGTATAAATGAATTATTTGATTAAAATTCAAATTCAAACAATAAAGATTTATTATTGTATATTATTTAAACAAATTCTTATACTTGGTGTAAAAAAAAAAATCCTTTAGAAGACAAAAAAAACACCATTGACTTTTAGAAAATACAATGATATACTCTATCTCGGTTCGAAGTATTTTTTTAAATTTTTATAGTAAATTAAAAAATAATCATATTTGATTCATTAATATAAATATATAAAATCATTTAATATTTTTTATTTATATTTTATGTATAAACTAATTATTTGTATACAGATATAGTTATAACTCATGTAAAAAAAAATTAATATTAGTAGTTATTATTTTTACTTTAATAAAAAAAAAATACTCCTTCTGCTCCATATAATATGGGTATATTATTGTAGATACCAAGTATAATTAGTAAGTAATTAAAATATGTATTAGTAAAACTAATTATTGTATAGTAAAAATAATTATAAATTAAGATTAAAATAACTAAATAATTTAATTAAAATTTTAAAAAATATAAAATATAAAATTTAAAATATAATTATATTTTTTAAAAAAAAGATAAATTATACGTAACAAATAAAAAATAAAAAATATGAGCAAATTATATAACACTGATAGAGTATGCGGTAGTGTGCCAAATAAAAATTAATATTTGAAGGGGATGAAAGAAAGTAAAATTTAAAATAAGTATTTGATTAAATATTTTTAAATACTTTGTAATATAAATCTTAAAAATTACACAAACTAATAATTTAAAAAAAAATAAAATTAAAATACCAGCAGATTCGGTCGGATTGAAATAATAAACATTACACCTCATTTTCGTTGAGCATACAGTCGCCACGTGTATCATAAATCCCTCACGTTGAACTCTATTCCACATCTCAATAAAGAAATGGACGGTCCTGAGATAACGGCCTCCCATCAACGGCTCCGATTTCCGCTATAAATATCAAGAGCCACCGCGGATCCTGCCCTTGGCTGCGATTCATTTCTTATCGTTGCGGCGACTTTCCTGTCTTCGCGATCTTCCTCTGCGATTTGGAGTTTTGTAGATTGTTGGCGAAGATATCATGGGCAAAGGTCCAGGTCTCTACACCGATATTGGAAAGAGAGCTCGAGGTATGCTAATGGTTCGCATTTCTAGTGTTAATGGCGGATATTGCGTTTTTGTTCGCGGTTTAGGTTAAATTTACTTTTGGTTTGTGATGTATTTTCTGGTGGATTCAGATCTGCTGTATAAGGATTTCAACAGCGACCAGAAGTTCACATTGACTACCTATTCTCCCACTGGAGTTGTAAGTGGTTATTTGCTTGTGGATCTGATTGTGTTTTTTTTTTTTGTCTTTTTGTTATTTTAATTGGAGGTTTTTTTTGCTCGTCAGTTCTCTGAATTTTTAGTGATTATTTATTTATTTTTTTCTGTGATTTTTTCATTTCTAGGTTTGTTTTGGTGTTTGTTGATATTGTACGCATTTTTTGTTTTTAAAATATATACTGTTCTGTCTTCTAGCTTGTGATCGGTGGTTACTCTTATACGAATTAGCGAATAACAGTCGGTAAATACGAACACTGATTTTGCATCGTTTGTTAATTGAAGAATATGTGTTTATATCTTGATGATTTTGGATAAGCTGTTTATTTGGTACTTGGAATTTGGATCATTTATTGAGAGAGCTCTTCATCTTATAGGACGTGAAAAAGTTAGAATAAAAGTTTAATATAAGTTGTGCTTATGAGTGGGCGTGATTATGACATCATACTCTTGGGTGAAATTGGATTTCGAACTTTGAAGTAAAGAAATTGTACAACAATTGTTTTGAAAAGTTAATTACTATATGTGCTTATGATCACTCTGTATCTAACTTCACATTTCTTGTAATAGTGCTTTATATATTAAAACTGTATGGATAGAGGTTGATCAATACAAAAACATTTATTAATGTATGTGAGATTGCCGTAATTTCAACTTCTTCATTCTTCTCGGTTGTCTTTTGAGGGGTGAGGTTTTGCTGAGGGAACAAGATGCTGCTGGGACACTGCAGTTTGTTAGTTTGGAATTCTGTGTTCCATTTTTGTATGTATATTGATTTCTTTTACCTTTTTGCCTTCATTGCAGACCCTCACTTCAACTGGAATTAAGAAGGGCGAACTATTCGTTGCTGATGTGAACACTCAACTGAAGCAAAAAAACATCACCACCGATATTAAAGTGGACACAAGCTCAAATGTAAGTGTCTCCGTTTTAATTTTTTGGGGATTTCTTTGAATATGTTGCTCTATAATCTTATTTATTCTTCTGTTAGAAAAGATTCTCAGTATTCATCCTTACGGGTACATATATATATAAATATATATATTAATGAGCAATAAAACTCTTCCGCAAATGGATGAATATCGTAATAAATTTGCGCCTACTGCCCACATAGAAAGATCTAACTAGTTTCTCGATCCAATGACAGCTCTTCACCACCATAACAATTGATGAACCCGCTCCTGGATTGAAGACAATATTAAGCTTTAGAATTCCCGACCAAAGGTCTGGGAAGGTAAGCTACATTTTGAGTTTGCTGGTCTGCCACACTTTACTGGCTTACCTTATTATTGATTTGTCGTCGACCATTGTAGTTGGAACTTCAATACTTGCACGAGTATGCCGGGATAAGCTCAAGCGTTGGGTTGACTGCTAACCCGATCGTGAACTTCTCCGGTGTTTTGGGAAATAATAAGTTTGCACTAGGAAGTGACCTGTCGTTTGACACCAAGGAAGGAGCATTAACCAAATGCAACTTCGGCGCAAGCTTCACAAATTCGGATCTCATAGCTTCCCTGACAGTGTAAGTGATTCTATATTTCTATTACTAGGTGTTTTTATTTGTTATATCTGATTTTATCGAGTTTCTTGTCTTGGTGCACACATCATTGACTTGAATTTGTCCGGAAGATTCAAATGGGGCTTACAATAACGATGATCATTCTCTTGATTTTAGGAACGACAAGGGTGATACATTGAACGGGTCGTACTACCACATAGTGAGCCCGTTGACCAACACTGCTGTTGGTGCAGAGGTTACCCATAGCTTCTCGACTAATGAGAATACTATCACATTCGGCACACAGTATTCTTTGGACCCAATGACTACTGTGAAAGCTCGATTGAACAATTGGGGAAAGGCGAATGCTCTGATCCAGCATGAATGGCGCCCTAAGTCGCTTATCACTGTCTCGACTGAAGTGGACACCAAATCTATCGACAAGAGTGCCAAATTCGGTTTGGCATTGGCTCTCAAGCCATGAATGGTCGGGTGCCATCCTCGTCGTCATATGGGATTCTGTCTGTGCTTGTCGGTAATAATAATCTAGATTGCTGCGCCAAATTTGATTTCCTTTTTTCGTTACCTTTAATTGAATTAACCTTTTGTTGAACTTAGTATTATCATCCTTTTGCGGATCTCGAATCTCAAGCCTGAATTTTCCCGGTCAGTTCAGGGCGTTTCTCGCTATTCTTTTTCTCTTTCTTGAATTTGTTGTGCCTTTGCCTTGCAATGAATGTCATGGAGATAATGTCCCCATCGGAATAATTTGCCATTTCATGAAGTTTTATTTGTATGATCGTTAATTTTGGAGATGGCGACATCCTCTCCATGAACTATATATTTGATGGTATCGGGAATGGCTAGTCGACTAGTGAAGTATAAATTGACGGTATATGACTTGAATTAATGCAAATGTGATGTGCCGCCTTACATATGTGCTGGGTAAACATTTTGTGTCCGAGATTAATTGCGTTATGATAATTATTATCATGTGTTAGTTATGCCTCTTAAACGTGTGTTCGAGTGTTCGGCATACATCTTGTTTCGAGATTAATTGTGTTATGTGATATATGGATTATTATTATGTATTGTCGGTTTATGTATTGTATTGTATTGTATTCGGATCATGTTTGGTATGTAACTTGAAATGTTTTATTCTTTATTTATTGTCTGTGCGTGAGGCAGTTATTGTATTGAATTTTATCAACACAATATAGAAGTAGTTAAAGCGTGTATGTCAGTGTAAAATATAAATGCAGGGTACACATTAGTGTTTTATGACAGACTCAAAGTATTTTTTTATTATTATACATTAATATCAAAATATTTTTTATTTTTAGTTAGGATGTGTTTGTATTAATTTTTTCTTATGATGTGTTTGTATGGGAGTTTGAGTTTTAAGTTGGAATTTAAATAGTATTTTCTTTGTTTTATATAATTTGTCTTTATGTTTTATCTTCGTTTGTCATGCGTAATTTATCAATTGATTATACATTTTAATTATATTTTAAAATTTAAATTTATTTTTTTAAATTTTAATTAAATTATTTAATTATTTAATCTATAATTATTTTTTATATATAATAATTATTTTTTTAATATATTTTTTAATTATTTATTAATTATATTTTACCTAAATTTTTCGATCTACGGTAATAGGCTTATATTATCTAAGACTGAGGGAGTAAAAGTTTCGAATTGTAATAACTGTGTGAAATTTTGAATATAATTTTTAGTACTTCCTCTGTCCCACATACCGTTATAGGAAGGGTGTAACTAGTAATAATTAAGAATGTATTAGTAAAAATAATTATCCGATAATATAAATAATTATAAATTAAGATTAAGATAACTAATTAGTTTAATTAAAATTTTAAAAAAATAAAATTAAAAAATTTAAAATAAAATTAAAGTATAATTATTTTTCAAGTGACATGCTATGTGGGACGACGCAAGCGTGAACATGATATGTGAGACGGAGAGACTATAATATAAAAAATAAAAAATAAATTTTGTGATTTAATATTTTTAAGAAAAAAAAAATCGATGAACAGTGAAAATTGAAGAAAATTTTCCAAAAGAATTACATATACATTATTGTATCTATGAAATCGAAAGGAAAAAATATGAAAAAATGTTAAATATTTTTATTAATTAATAAAATATTATTAATTTTTAATTTACTACATAATTCTATAATATAAATAACATGATATTGTTTATGTTAAAAAAAAATGTGCAATTTTTTTTTTCCGGTTTATTTAGAGAAAAATATTACTGTATTTAATCTATAAAATATACTAGTATGCAATTTATTTTTTTAAAAAAATATATATCCCTAAACACGCGTTTGATTAGTTGATTTCTTACACATGTTGCTTCATTTACACAGATTTTTTAAAATTTTATTTTTTTAAAAAAATAATAGTTTTTTTTTTTTTGAATATTTAATGATATACTATTATAAGATAAAAAAATATGTATGTCACGATATATTTTAGTAAAAACCTGATCCCCAAATCATGCTCCAATGTAAATTTCTAACTAACAAAACAAACTTAATCTAGCTTATATTTGGGTAAACCAAACCTTAGCAGAGAATCGAAAATGTTAAAAAGAGTTCTTTGAGTCTTCAAAATTGATTTTAAACTATTCCAAGAAAGTACCTTTCAAGACAGCAAAACAAATGGTGTGCAGTTATGTGTAATAAACCCACCTGTGTAAATATATATATATATAGATAAAGACAGCTATTGAGGAAGGACATGAGATTTTGAGGGATCAATGCTTCCCGTTAGAGGTGGAGCTGCTGCCGCCGCCGGCGGCAGTGGCAGCGGCAGCGGCAACAGCAACAGCGGTGTGTTTATTGAAGGGCCAGAGATTGACGAGGCGTTCCAAGACGGCGGCGCTCTTAGAGAAGTAGCCGGAGAATCCTTGAGGGATCGATGGTGGAGGGAAATCCTCCGGCGGCATGGCGAATGGGCGCATCATCTTCTCCATCGTCTCCATCGTCAGACATGATCCAACTTCTTGCAGCCTTTCCGGCCCCATTATTGGGAGCGTGTGCTCCTGATGTAACCAGCTGTCGGTGCTCTGCGACACATATGCGAGTTCAAGTATTAGCTGCTTTTCGAAAGTAAGTAATAGAAGTTTTTTTTTTTTTTAAAGCTCGAGTTTTTCAATATTTTGTTCCGTACTATGCAATTTGTAGGTTTGAAGGGAAAAAATTGATAATTTTGGATGAAAAAACATCACGGCTAATCGACTTTATAGCTTTTTAAAGGAATACATCTAATTTTCATTTAAAATATTACAGCAAGAACTTATTTTGAGTACATAACATTATATCTAGTATCTATTTCTATATCGAAGCGAATGCCTATTTATTATTCATAATTTACTATATCTAAATATCTTTATACTTAAAAAAAATACTTCCAAAATATATCTAAGGACATCCGGAATAATTTTTAAATTCAACAAATGTCTGTAAATATAAGTAAACACGACCAAAGAAAAACTTCTGAAAGCAAGACCTTGATGTTATTTGACTTACAAAATTTGGTTTTATTATTATAGTTTTATATTTCAATGGTAGTTTAAATGTGATATTTTGTAAGCAAAAATATAATATCGATAGTTGCATAAAAAGAAAAACCTGAAACTAAAAGAATAAAGCCATAGTTACCTCCAAAGGGGATAAATCGGCACCTCGACTAAAAGTCATCTCTATGCGAAATCTCTTCGGATCTTCTAAAGCCACCTGCAGTTGGTTTTAGTTTTCGATAATATAATGATCGATGCAAGGCGCCGCAGAAACGATAAGAAGAGAGAAGTATAAAAGCTCTATTCAACTTATTATTAGCTCTATACAAAACTATAACTCTTAGAATGTGTTCCTATGTCCCCAAAATATTATTTCAAACACACAATATATAATATACAATATATACACCAAACAATTCAATAAAAACATCAAATATTATCTTCTATAATATTTTCACACTTCTTGATATCTCACTACAAAAATATCTAAAATTATAAAAACTAAACAAACAATATAGTTCAGTGAATTCATCATGTATCTACCTTAGTTAATTCCGACGAGTAAATGTTGTTATTGCCTTTACAAGTTCGCAAAACATGTATGAATGCCGAATCATGCAGCTAAAGCTTCCATATCCTCAAAATCACGAAAAATTGGAAAGCATGCTAATCATAGTTTGGCGAAATTTTGACACAAGCACAATTGCGGATCAATGCGCGCCAAATGAAATGCAGCGATGATTAGAATTCAAACGCAATATGGATCCGTAAATCTTTAACTTTAGAAGAGAGATAGAAAAAAATTAAGATTAGAGCACTGACCTCTGTATTCTCAAACATCCTCAATACAATGTAGCTCATGTAATCGAGCTCCCTCGTGTTGTACAATCGTTCAAGACCATTGTCAGAAACGAGGCTCGGCTCTCCTTGAAGAGATTCATCTATGTTGCAATAGCGGAGAACATTCATCAACGAATGAATATGAGATTCCTGCCGTTCGTCGTGAGAATGTAAGTTTATTGAAAAAAAAAATTAAATAAGAAAGCAAAAATAAAATAAGATGTCACAATGTTCACTCACTGATGTAAAATATAGCCGAGTTCGAACATGGCGATCAGGCGTCTTCACATTCGCATACCTGATGGAAGAAGCCGAAAAAAAAAAGGAGTATAAGTCATCTGTTTGAAAAGCTAATCGACCGAAGAACAGCAAGTAATAATAAAATGACACTACTTACTTTGGATCGAGGCGATATTTTGTTTCTTTGTCTTCATCGTCATCTTGATCCATCGAAACATCACTTGTGAAGCTAGTTCTTCTAGAGCCTTCAATCTTACTGTGAGGCTTTGACTGGTAATCTGTATCATCTTTAACAGTGCTGGATGCTGAATTACTCTCTTGATTACTCTTCAATTCCGCGACACTGATCGCTTCATCGCTTGTATTTCTCAGATCAATCAATATTTTTCCCAGTAATCGACGAGCAATCTGAAGTTTTTGCAAGTCAAGGTTTAGATGTGAATGTACACTCAATTTTTTTCGCCGGAACACATTGCACACTTCTTTTAGGCATATAGAGAATTTGCAATCGAGCCTTTATTGTGTCGAAATTCGACATAGAACAAAAGTATATGTATCTTGGATTATCAAAGAAGAGTAGCTTTACCTTTGATCCGATCTTAAGTTTTTGCTTCGGATTGATACCGTACTCATTTGGAATAACACCATCTGCAAGCAACTATACAAAAATATGTATAGAATATGTGTGTCAATTTCCCAAAGCTCTGAAATCGGAAATGCTTTTGCACTTTCAGCGAAACGAGCAAGACATATATACGCTACAATTTTATTATGTAGAAAAAAAAAGATTTCGAAAACTATTGGATACGACATACCTGTGCAACTTTGAAGAGCTCATCCAAGCCTTCAAGATTTAGATGTGCATTATGCAATAGATCATATCTGTAGATATGGTAAGTGAAACAAGTTAAAAAATAAGAACACGAAGAAAATGAATCACATACAAAAAGGCAAATGATTTTCAAATTAGTATTACATACTTGCAAGAGTCATAAACGTCAGGAATTTGTGTTATATCGAACCGCCTGCAAATTTTTTCATATTGTCAGCTAAACTTTTGGTAAAAGAATTTATCCAAAATCTGATATGAGAGGATATAGGTCACATCAAGTTCATTATTTTCATGCAGAAATAGCAAAAAGAAAAGGATCAGAGTAGAGCTACCCTTTGCGTTCATTATAGAAATCTCTCTCGAGTTTTCTCCACCGAGCAAACATGAGAAGAAACCCCTCACTGCCACAAGGCAAACCTGCAGCAATCCGGTCCACGTCGATATTTGTTTTACCGAGTGCTTTAGCTTGATCATATGGAGGAATCACATCATAAGCACTTGTCTCTGCAAGCTCCTCGTCTTCGTCCTTGGCGAGAATTCTCACTTGTTCAGTAACCTTCTTTGTTAACTTAGCCTGATTAGAATCATGATAATCACATAGGATCACCAGAAGATTGCTGCCACTAAAAATTCTACTTTGGCAGAAACTTTAATTTATTATAGTTTAGCGCCATCATTTCAACATAATGCCTAAATAATTACTATCTAATGTAAATAATATTAACCAATATCATGCCTATACACTTCAGAATGATGCTAATCATAAGTTGAATTCAGAGTCTTGTACCAATTTGGGTAGAAGTTCGGAAGCATTTGGTGGAAGCCCAGCTCCATCGACCATCCAAGGTTGTTCCGGTGAACCAATGTTGTGAACAGCTTTTGTTCCCAAAGTTATAATCTCACTTAACCTGGCCTGGAAAAACAAGAAGGATAAAAGAGAAGTTCACAACAAAAACATTGAATATTGAGACACCATAAAAATCCATTTGTTTGATTCTGAGAGTTTCTTATTTTTGAAAAGCATAACTTATGAATCACTTCCCATGTGCTGGAAAAACAATTTATATTGACAATAAAATCTAGTGTTCTATAGCCTGAAAATTCTTTAGGCAGTATCATTAGCTCGCATAAGATTGTAGAACAGTCATATAAAAATGATCAAATCCCAACTAGAATATAGAAATACATTCGACATTTCATAAATTGCAGAAAACACATAATGCAAGTGACATTTTTTCTCCTCTTTTAATGATGAATCGAAAACAATATGATAAGACAATGAAATGATTAGAAGTACAATAAAGAGGAAATTCGTAAAATAAAATATATCGATTGTTAAGAAATAACATGAAAAATTTCATTTAGAGTCATGTACTATTAATGTCATACATTTCAACAATCATATATTTAAAACTTTTATGTTACCTTAGCCTCTTTTATCTCAATACTGGCATTGTCGAGTCCGTCCAACATTGAAGAGTCTTTGCTGACAAGTGAAACCTTAGAGAATGAAAAATGAAAAATAAATGGAACATTTCACATGTCTAAAGGCAAATCAACAATACGGAAATTTAATCACCAACCAGAATGGGCGTTAATTGTCCTTCGAGATCAAGAAGACCTTTGGCGAAAGCAGCTGCTGACATCTGTCAATCAACAACAAATATGTGAAGAGGACTTTCATCAAGCAACTTGTTAAAATAGGATGACACATTGTAGAGCTCTACGGCGACTCCGATGTTTACCCAAAATAGCCTAAGACATAATTTAGATACAAACATAATTTTGGAAGTTGGAAGCATAACCTGTACTCGGCCTTCATCGGAGCTGTATATTTTTAAGTCATGACGATAAGTACTGTGGAGTCGAAGCAGGCCTGTGCCCTCACCTGAGAGAGAACCAAAAATATATGAAATATAAAAAATGTCTACAGCATGTAATCGATCCAATATGTGTATATATATATATATATATATTCTTTAATAGCATTCTGCCATGTTCAACAATGAAATCAAATAAATTGATAAAACAATTGAAGGCTTTAAAATGATCATCTAAAAAAATTGAGAATACAATCAGTAGTGACAGAAATTCTACTTTCAGAAAAACAGTGAAAGCTTAAAGCTTAAAGAAAGGGTCTTTCATTCTGCCCTCCAAAAAAAACCTACACGATTCCGATTAATATTGCAAAAAAAAAATACAATATATATATACACACTCTCACACAATATATATACTTTACCTACATACAAAAATCAACAATTCAATACAAAATATCATTTAATATATTACCAACACGTCATATCTAACATAAAAAAAGAACTAAAACTAAAAGAACTAAACAAACACGCCCAAAATCACATCATGAGACTTACTTCAAATCTCCAAAGATGATGAGTATGAAATGTAGCACCACAAACTCTTATAAAATGAATTTCGCAGAAAGTGCACATTACACAACCGAGAGATGGTTAATTGCGAACCTGGATACATATTGTTTCGAAAATATCTGCCCAGTTCTTCAGCCTGTCAAAAAGATTTTTGAGCATCGTGCAAAGCTTACGTATATATTGGTCATGTAAATTCAAATGATAGACGCTTAGCTCTTATAACAATAAACCAAAAATTGTTTTCATATTTGAGACCAAAATTGATTGCTTGTGTGATACAAATATCTTGTCACCTGTTTCCTGCCAGCATGAGTGAGAACTCCGCCATATTTAAGAACCATAAGAGCTTCAGTAGGTCTTTCTTCTTCTCCATCACCGTTAATTTTCGGAACCTTGACCCACTTTAAGGGCTTCAGTTGGACTTTTCTGTATATGCCGGAAAAGTGACCACCCTATACACAAAAAATTCAGCGATTAAATAATTATCATCAGAACAATCTACAAGAAATTCTCTAAAAGAATAGAAGACAATACATTTATAGGTTGATATAGAAACAAACACTAGGTTTTCATAAACACAAAACACAACAGTAGTAAATAAAGTATAGGGAATAGATAATTATAGTAATTCAAGCATACCTCTAAGTAGTGCTAACATCAGATAATTACATATATAAATATATAGTAACAATTAAGCTTGTGAAATTATGAATATGAGAATGTGACACAATAGTTACAATTTGTGCAAGACTTCTCAGGATGGTTCAAATTTATATTAACATAGCACCATAAGAAAATGAGAAACTTGACGCCTTCGTCATTTAAGGAAAACGTCAGCATAATTTATTTTTTTAATCAAAAAAACTTTGAAAAATTCAAATAAACTTATTCTTGAACTTGACCTCCTCGAGCACGGCCTTCACTTGACGAAGCTTTTCAGCATGCTCAATGTCTTCAGCTTCACTATCACTTTCTCGACCAGGCCTGCGTAATAAAAGTAATAAATTTAGTATCAGTATAGAATGATAGAAGTGAAACATTCAATTGAAAGATTAAAAAGTTGTATCTATATAACCACCTAATAAAAGCATGTAGTAAGAACGATTCCCTAATAAATATAGTTAAAATAATATAATCTTGAGGCAGAATGATAATTGACTAATTGTTACACAAGTGAATTAATTAGCATCGAGAATTCGAACATTCTTCCCCCACCTAGTTCTAGGAACTAAAATTCGTGTTGCATCCAAAAGATCTTGCAACTGAACTGCACTTTTAAGTTTTGTCTGCAGGTGCACGTAAACAGACTCAAAACACATTTCTTGTACAAGCAAATGCGGAAATTGTCGCCATGAAATGAATTATTATATGATTGAGAAGTACCTCTGTTCTGGGGCGTCCACCGTTGTATTTTAGCATTAAATTCAAAAGTTTTTCCTCAGTAACTTTCAATTTGACTTTCTGCTTTGGAGTTCTGTCACCACTGTAAAGTAACATGCAAATATATACGTGGCTTTTAAAGGGTCTCAAAACCTGCAAAATAAAATCGAGGACAGAAAAGAAGTGACTTGTCTTACTGACGGATAACAGCGATCACACAGCGCAGCTCTTCAGCTTGCCCAAATGCTCCAATAATCCCACTGCCTTGACGAGTTAGTCCTTCTAACGGTTGAACTGGTTCACTGACCTTCCATGGTAGTGTTGGAGGGATTGTTGAAGAAAGATGCGGAGCTTTTGCATCAAGGAACATCTTCCTCAACACACAAGCAGCGTCGTCATAATATCTGCATTTGATAAAGAAAAATACACTGTAAAATAAGAACCAAAAGTGACAATTTTCAAAAAGAATAAAGGAGAAAGGGCATATATATACGTGTACATATAAAAAAAACAAAAAGCATTTCTTTAGCTTCTGAATTTACTGATGCACTGGATTTAAGGCATACCCAAACAACCAATGGATTGATGTTTCATCTTTTCCTAGGACACTACAGATCTACAAAATTGTTCGACACCCATACAATCAAGGAAAATAAAACCAGCAAGAAGAAATGTTACTTATAGGAGTTCTTAACAAAGCTCCATCCATTGACATCGCAGACATAGGATCGCCCCTCACAGCGCAGAAGATCAAATCCACAAACCTGAAATAAAAAATCAAACGAAACTTACCATAATAGACTCTGTGCAAAAGCTTGCTAGATTGTATAAAAGCATGCATATATGAATTCAATTATACTGAAAATATCTTAGTTTTGATTGCTATATGTATTGCAAAAATTGAGCAGTTATCATTAAGAAATCAGAAGGTATTAATTCTATCCCAATTTTGTTCCAAAGACAGGTAACAATAGTATATGAAATCCCAGTTTGAACAATCTACAAAATATTTGTTAAGAAATACATCACTCAGAACCAAAGCCATCTAAGTGGTATAGCAACAACCACTAAAAACCCATCAACAGCAGAGTTGATGCTATCGAACTGTTTAATGGGCATTTAAATATGTAACTCTAGCTGCAAGATGCCATATGAATCTCATCCAGACTATTTAAGCTGTTGTCCATAAATGTTTACTGCAATTATCCAAATTGTGAAAATAATAATGATCTTACATAGTAATCCTGCTTGCCAGTGATTAGCATAATTAAAATTCAAAAAGAGATGATTTAATTTACATTTCAACACAATATAATTAAATTATCATACTTACAGCTTGCCTAAATGCAAGGCATACATCTCTTGCAATTTGCTTCTCACCTGGAGTAAGTAGAACAGGATATCTGACCTGAAAAGAAAGCAATTTATCTAAAGACAACAAAGTCATTTACTTTAATTCGTGAAAAACTACTCTTATATTCGGACACGCCACAAAAACAAGTTCAGTGAAAGAATTTCACTAATCATCAACTAGATGTATGATGGTCAATTATGAGCTATTACTTTTGGCTTAGTACTCCAACCCATCCCTACCATAAAATTCTATTTAGTTAAAAAACATATAGCTAACACTGTGCCAAAAGCTTAATTCCCTGAGCTAAAATTGAAATTTCACCCGTTATTGAAGTATAGTACAAATGATCCGAACTGTATCTGGCATAGAATATTTTATAAGTGTATATATTAACCATATACATCAGATCAAGGTGCATTCAAAGGGTGCTGCTAAGAATTATGATTGAAATTTACATCAATTCCAATTGTAAACTAAATGCTAAGCAACTAACTTTCGGTGTAACTTGATCTCTATTACACATGCAACATGAGAAAGAACATGACGAAAAATCAAAATAGCAAGAGTGCTGGCAGGGTTCCTTATAGAATGCACAGGGAGAGAGCAGAACCCAAAAAAAAAAATTACGAAAAAACCAGTGATCAATCTGCCGTATTCGGCCATTAAATAAATTAATAAGAAGAAGAATACATTGATCTTTCTACTTAGTGATCCCTTTGGCTGCCACGAAATATATAGAATAAACCAATATGGTGACAAACTATAGGAGTAGATATCCAAAAAGCACCTTTGTCAATAGCCAATGATACAGAAACTTAAACTGTACTATATAGCCACATACTAAAATTTACTTCTCATGTTTAATTCCTTAAGGTAAGAAAACGCCGGATTAAATAATTGGAAAATTCTAACAGCACAATTGTATGAATAACTTACTTCTTTGCCATCATGATTTCTCATAACAACACCATCAACCACAGGAGATTTTCTTGCCTCTGCATGAGCATACTCAGGGCCCACTGTATAAACCTAAAATTCGCAATTGAGAATGTTTTTATTTATCTATGCACCAGCAAATATCCCTTCATTCTAACAAAAACTATCGAGGTAACAATCAAAATGCCTACAGTTCGATAACAACTTACTTTCCCCCATAGAAAATACGTGGGGACCAAGAAAGTTGAATGCTTAACAAAGACAACAAATCAGAAATAATAGCGTAACCCGTGTTGAAGTATAAAGTTAGAAAAAAGAAAAACTACAAATCAAACAATCTTTATGTAATGTCAAGCAGACATAAGTTGTGATAACACATCCAGCCAAAGAACAAAATAATAATTCTTTAAATTACCCAAAGTACAAGCATGATATTCATGGTTGTGATTGACTTAACACTATATGGCAAGCAATTATAACGTTTAATAACAACACAGGGGAAAACAAACAACTCAATCTATATGTACAAAGTACTAGTATTCATTCAAAGTTGCGAGAAAATTAGAATTATATTCCATCCCCCCACCCCAGATACAAGAATATATATATATATATATAAAAGAAGGAGAAAGAAAGAAACCTTGACATCTGTTCCCCCAGTGGGCATAAACTCCTCATATATGTAAGATCCTTCACGCCGCACTCTTCTGACCTCAGGATGAAATTCACTAGAGCGATTGCCAACCTGAAAAGGAAGCAAATATATATATATATATATATATATGCACACACACACGAGATCAAGCATCCCATAAACTCTAGAGTACAAAATAAGGGGTAGAGAACTGATCATGCATGCACATTAATGTCTCTAATTCCAAATCTGCAAAGGATAACAATGAGCACATTTCTTCTCTCGCTTACAAAATTGCATTTGAATATTTTCACTTATTTTTAATATCTCAAAGAAGAATTAAGGTTGTTCCACTGGAAATCCTTCAAAGGTGCCAGTTTGACAAGAAAAAAGAGGATTCAAAGATGAAAGCTTCACAATACATAAAATTAAAAAAACTAGATCAACATAAACATCTTTCATAGTCTCACCTTTCGAAACAACTCCTTCATCCCCCCACCAGCTGAACTAGGGTAATATATCATGATACTGTGGTTATCACCTTAACAAGACAAGTAAACAATTGGCATTCACTTTCCAGATTCAATTATGGAAGCAATATGTACAAATTTTTAAGGACTGGTAATTCTGTTTTGACAATATATATATATATATCGTTATAATGACAAAATAGTATATAACATAAAAAATTTAGAACTACAGCCACTCCATCAAGTTGTACTTCAAATTACCACATTTGTAGCAAGCAGTACAAATAATTCCTATTGATTTCTCACCCCCTCTACACCTCATGTTATTTATACCTGCATTACTTGGTTCTCAATTCACAAGAATCACTCTCTTTTATGAAATCGGTGGAGGCACACAGTATGCCAGACTATAAATTATATCATCTTATGCATAATAAAGTAAAAACATATTTCTTGAATACAAGCATCCATTTTCTGATATAGTTGGAAGTACTGATGGCAAATCATTTGAAAAGAAATTAATACATAGATATGTTCCATTTTTATCAACGAAGGTAATTAATGATGGAGTTAAATCAACAACAAATTTGGGAAGATCCAGAGTATGGCAGGTGGCAATTCACACCATTAGCAATAAGCATTACGAATAATAATAGGAATCCAAGATTTAGAAACTACACTTGTGATATACATGTAAAAGCATACCATCAACAGGCTTCTCCACAAAAGGCTTCCAGAATCGATTCCCGTGAACCTCAACAAAATCTTCCCCTTCAATGAAATAATCCAGCTCTTGATTTGGAAATTCTCGGTTGACCAAGGCATACCTTGGTATAGGAATTCCGAACATTTCAAGACGCTGAAAAGCTCATCAGATAAACCACCCCAGCATCAAGATTCAACACTCAAAGAATTACGACACAATGTTATAGGATGGCAAGAAAACTGAGAAAATACCAAATTTTAGTCAAGAAAAATCAATCAAAGATAATTTACAAAGTTTTGTCAAAATGGAATTTACTGCTAACTTCTTTGTAACCCCCTACCTTTTTAAGTTTGTTTATCCACATAGTATTTTGAAAACCAGTGTGGGTGTGCACATAAGAGTAAACAGAATGGAAAGGTCAAAATCTTTGATGTTCTCTAATAGAGTAAAGATGCAAACCTCATACACTTTCCTTCGATCATGAAGAAGGTGTTGTTGTCCCAATTCATTGACGAGGAAAGGCCTGTACCGACAAAGTGATATAGAAGCATAAACAATTATTCATCCACAGAAGCACAAGAGTGAAACTTATTTCTCCCAAATAGCTGCATTGGAGTTATGCCAACCAGGTTTCTTTCTTATCCCGAAACAAAACAAACAAACAAGAAAATCACATATGAAGTCGAGCTTACTCATTTATAGTGCCACATAGCCGTCAAAAACCAATTGTTAAATTGCAGATAGAACTTCAGAAAAATTAAACTCTTCAACCACCAAACAGTTCTGGAATTCATTTTGCAGCTTCATTCACATTGTTCACAGTCCTCTCCAATTTTCAAGCACGCAAAATCTTTCCACCTCTATCACGAACCAATTATGATGATTGAAGATATTTACAACATTGGTCGTGATTTATTCAAAGCCAGACATTAATTCTATTGTTACAAACCTTTTCTTGCAAAAGAAGAGAATATATACATACATATATACACAAGAAATTCAATATATATGTATATATAGATCAAACTTACTTTCTTAGAGAAGCATATGCTTCAGCTCTCCCCAAAGGATAGCCAGTGGAATAGAAAGCAATCAAGCAGTCACATATAGGCCATCTGCAAAATGGTATCTTAAGGTTATTAAGCATTGCTAAAGCTCTTGACATAGTGTCTTAGAAACTTCACCTCTCAATAGGCTCCTCAAGGATTACTTTGTCCCCAAAATGCACTATCTACAAAATTCAGAACCAACAATTACCGATAAGCACGTCGTCACGGGCTCTGTTAGTTTGTGGTTTTCAATCCAAACTTCACTATTCCCTAATTTTTCACTTTTAGAAAACATCAAATCAAAGCCCATATTTCTTAGTTTTCATATTATATTTAAAAAATTAATATTCCATTCAAAACAATAAGTAAACACATATTTATATCCCATCTAATAACTATATCAATATAAAATTTTAAGATCCATAACCCAAAGCTCAACTCTCAAACCCGCAAACCAAATGTTTTATTGCGCAACAATCCAATTTTGTCTTGAGCCAATCATATCAAACGTCTAAACTTTTATTTTTTATATTATACTAAAAATCAGTTTGCATTCAAAGCATCATCCCCTGTTTATATATCTATCAAACAACGGTTTCAAATCAAAAACCAAAACTCAAATCCTCGAACCCACAAACAAAATGTTTTCTTGCAACAACACAATTTTGTCTGGAGCCAATCAAATCACCTCAAATTCTCCAAACGCTTGTAATCTCTCCAGAATCTGCAACATGGGCCCTGAAAAAGCCTGACACCAACAGAAAGAAGGAGACAAAACAGAGATGAAGAAACTCAAATCAGAACTCTATCAGAAGCATTCTTTCCACCCAATGGTGAACGTCTCTGTGCTGTGAAAAAATTGAAGCAATAAGAACAGAACCTCGGAGCCGCATTTCACCTTCTTTTCCATAACACACACCCCTATCGTTATTTTCTTCTTCAGTCCTTCGCCCATTTCTCCCTCCATCTCTAAAGTTTCTTCTTCTTTTTATTTTTTATTTTTTTTGTTTTTCAAACACACACAGAGACAGAATCCAATAAACTCTCCTCTTCCTCCACAGCTCACAACTCAACCTACAATAAAGCACAATCATCAACATCAACAGTATCCATGTAAAACCAAAATCAGCATCCAGTGTTCGATACCTGAAGATCCGTGCACATCAAAAGTTGAGATTTTGACATTCCACGAGAAACAGAAGTGCTCAACCAATGCCAATCGAGCTGAGGAGAAAATAGCAGAAAGTAGCGAGGAAAGAGGGAGGATTATGGGATATGCAAAAGGCGGATATGGCGTCGAAAATGACGCTTATGTATCTGTGTATATACATATGTGTGTGTGTGAGAGAGAGACGGTCTGTTTCTGTCACAGTCTTCCTTTTGACGCGCAGATAAACATCACTGACTTCTTTTTTTCTAGCTCTCTGTGTATCTATATATATATATATATATATATGTGTGTGGCCTGTGGGTTGTCTCAATTTTTTTGGGAAATATGAATCCCAATTTGTGGCATTATCTAATTCTAATTTGTGGTACGTATTGTAAGTTTGGGGAAATTTGTGATATAATTGCAAAATTCCTAACTAACTTTTATTCGCATTTTTAAAATGTTTAATTTCGCATTATAATATTAATATCTCTTTCGTTTCCATTGATTTTTTTTTTATTATATTAAAAAATACTTTACTCGTATAACTAATTTTGGTACAAAAGAAGTGTAATTAAATGTTTTCTATTTTTAAATAAATAATTTTTTTTCATGTAAATGATAAATTATATCTCTAATACTACCTCCGTCTCAATACAATAATTTTGTTTACCAATTTGTCCGTGTCTTACTTCCATAAATAATCATATTATTACAGTAAAACTACCCATACTTTTTCATTTTTATTACACAATTACCACTATTTTTTACATTGATATATTCACAAACAAAAAATGTCTTTTATCTATACTTTTTATCCACTTGCCAAGTAACCAATCCAATTAAGACTACAGAGGGAGTATAATAATATTTTATAGCGAATTATTTTTTTAATGAATATAATTCTCTATCAAGTCTAGCATTTGTTTATTTATTTTTTTGTTTGTTCACAAAAAATATATAGTTTTTTATTTATAGCAAATAATTTTGCATATTTTTTCATTTATAATATATTATACTTATTTACAAAATAACACCATGACTTACATGATCACTCTATCATTTTTTTTTTATGTAAACTTATTAAGTATATTTTTTAAAACATTTTTACTTTATATTATAATTAACTAATATATAATAATAATATTATTGTTGATGTAATTTTTCAACAAAAATAAAGTAAAATTCAAAGATATAGAAAATATCCTTAAACTTGATTAATTAGTGCCTGAGATTAGGAATCTCTAAACACTGTATGGTACAGAAAATAAACTGGAAAATAAAAGACTGAAATTTAAAGTGGTGATCCCCAAATCTGACTTTGCTTTGTTGAAGTTGATTGAAGATCCCTTGCCAAATGATGATCCAAATCCTTAAATATTCCCTGGGAAACCGTACTGAAAACCGTCACCCGAACGGTTACAACGTCTCCTTCTCAACCGTCTTCCAACCTTTCTTATGCTGACACGTGTCCCCAGCAGACCAAAAATTCCCTATATTTCACTCCTTGAGCCGACCACAGACCTTCCGCTCTTTTGGCCCGACTGCCAATCTACAATAGTATGGGTCCGACCGCCAATCCTCCCGACTTGCGAACCATCTGGCTTGAGGTCTTTCCGCCTTGAGGACTTCCCGACCTGAAAACCTTCCGACTTGAGGTCTTTCCGCCTTGAGGACTTCCCGACCTGAAAACCTTCCGACTTGAGGTCTTTCCGTCTTGAGGACCTCCCGACCTGAAAACCTTCCGACTTGAGGTCTTTCCGTCTTGAGGACTTCCCGACCTGAAAACCTTCCGACTTGAGGTCCTTCCGTCTTGAGGACCTACCGACCTGAGGTCCGTCCGTCCTAATGACTTTCCGTCTTGAAGACCTACCGACCTGAAGACCTTCCGACCTGAGGTCCTTCCGTCTTGAGGACCTACCGACCTGAGGTCCTTCCGTCCTAATGACTTTCCGTCTTAAGGACCTACTGACCTGAAGACCTTCCGACCTGAGGTCTTTCCGTCCTGAGGACCTACCGACCTGAAGTCCTTCCGTCCTGAGGACCTACCGACCTGAGAACCTTCCGTCCTGTATTTTCCTTAGAAATAAATAAATAAATTTATTTTCCTTGATTTCCTCACGGTGTCCTTCAGCCAGTTCAATCAACCCTATTGCCAGGCCCATTCTTCTTTTTTACCTTGGGCTTTTAACCTAATTCTAAATTTCGTACGTAACAACTTGCCCGCCGCCAAGGGACTTTCAAACGCCATTTAACAATCAATGTTTGGAAGTTCATAAATCACTACCCTCTTGAAAAACTCCCTTAGCAACTGCACCAGTTACTGAAACACGCCTGATAAACTTCCATCTTCGCAATACAAGCCTGTGTGAATCACAATCCCAAAACATTCTAACTATGGCGAATCAATACATGCCTGCCCTTCCTTTCGACGGAACCCTTCCAGAAGGTCCATTTTCAGCCTCGAAAGTACTAACTCCGACGATCCGTCCATATTGCACTACTCCTGAAGATTCATATCACGAAAGCTCTGGTTGATGATGCCATTCAGAAAAAGGAGGCAGAATTGCGGGAGCTGAGGAAAGAACAGTCTACCCTGGATAAGCAAATTACCAATGAACAGCATCTGCTTGAGAAGTATACCAAAAATGAGGCTGAATTGGATCAAGAGCTGAAAACCCAAGCCCGATCCCAATTCATCAGAAGATATCAGACGGCTGCCATTACCAGAAGGCTATCCAGGGATGAAAACAAATGGACACAAATAAAAACTGCCCTAGGGGCACTGTTGTAATATTTCCCCCTTTGTAACAACAACTGACTTAGTAATCCATTTTTTTCTTTCTTCTCTCAAAACAAGGATCACCTTTCAATTCCCAACTTTATAGGAAACGAACCAAACTCCTTCTTTAAAAGAACACTGTTTCTCACATTTTAAGAAACATATTCCCAAGCATATTTTAAAAATCAAAACACTGAAAGTGTGAACAAACATGGCGAATGACCGACCTCATGTTCCATCAAGCAACTGGGAGGGTGTTCTTCAACCCTTCTTTGTAGGTAATCACCCTATTGGAGGCCATGCAGAAGACTTGTTATATATACTCAAGCAACTAGACTTCAAATTCCGATTCTCCCAACGAGGTAGAAGAACTATTCATCGCGTCATCCTCCTGATGGAAAAAGTCATTGAGGGGTATGAACCTCTTCATGACATCCTCAGCCGCATCCCTGATCTCCATCATCACATGGAAATGATTGAAAATCATGCAGCAACCATACTTCCAGACCTTGGTTGGGATAACATATTTTCCAATCAACGAAAAGTCTTTTCAAGATTGCGTACCATTGTTGACCGTGAACATCAAGCCCTAACAGACATGCAAGCACGTACCCATCAAGATCTAGATGACATGCAAAGCCAATGGGAAAGGTACCGACCAGACTTGGAAGATCTTATTGAAGAAGAACCAGAGCTAATATCCACTCACTGGGATGAAAAGTCTGATTCAGAGACAGAAAATTTCTCACAACTACACGATGACTAACAGAAATGAACCTTCCAGTAGGTTCGAACCCCCATAAATGGGTTCTGAATAATATGTGGTTTCAGGCAGTTTTGTTATCTGAAAAGGCAGGATAATACCTCTTCAGATATTTAGCATTAATACAATCATGTACTCTTCTACCTTCATGATTTACAATAATGAACGCGCCATTTCCAATATCTTTTTGAACAATGTATGGTCCTTCCCAATTCGGTGACCACTTTCCCAATTGATCGGTTTTCTTATATGTAGGAAGAATGGTCTTCCAGACTAGGTCTCCTTTTTGGAATGTCCTGTGAAGAACTTTCTTTCCATAACTCCTTGCTCTGATTTCACTCTGTTTCACACTTCGATCTATTGCATGGAGACGGTTAACATCCAAATCTTCTAACTGCTGCAACATAATTTGTTGGTATTCCTTTGTAAGATCACTATCAGTAAATTCTGTTCGGCCAGATGACACTCGAATTTCGGCTGGTAAAACAGCATCTTGGCCAAACGTAAGTTGGTAAGGTGAGAACCCTGTGGCCGTATTTCTGGCATTTCTATGTGCCCATAAAGCCTGAGACAATAACAAATGCCACTTTCTTGGGTTCCCTTCAATCATCTTCTTTATAATCCCAATGATAATCTTATTTGCTGCTTCCGCCTGTCCATTGGCTTGGGGATAATATGGTGAAGAATGATGTAACCGAACACCGAATTCTGCCAAGAAATTAGAGAACTTTTCCCCTGTAAAGACCAAGCCTTGGTCGGTTGTTATAGACTGAGGAATACCATATCTGTAAATAATTTGGTTCAAAACGAAGTCTATCACTTCTTTCTGATCCACATTTTTCAAAGCAACTGCTTCCACCCATTTGGTAAAGTAATCAGTCGCGACCAAAATGAAACAGTGATGTTTCGATGAAGCAGGATGTATCTTACCAATAATATCCATAGCCCACGATTTAAAAGGCCATGGTTTTGCCAAGAATTGCAATTCGGTTACTGGCAAATGATTCAAGTTTCCATGTCTCTGACATTCCAGGCAGCCTTTTGCAAATTGTATGCAATCCTCAAAAATCTTAGGCCAGAAAAAACCCAAGCGATGAATGGCCCATCTCATATTGAGACCTGCCCGATGAGCTCCACATATCCCACCATGTACTTCTGTCATCACTTCTAGAGCTTCTTTAGATCCCAAGCATTTCAAAAGTAAACCTTCAAATGATCTCTTGTACAAAATTCCATTTATCAATTGAAAACGTAAAGCCTTCAATCGTGTCGCAATTGAAACACTCGCACCAGGATTCTGTAAATACAGGATAAGCTCTGTTCTCCAATCGGACACTGTTTCGCCATCGGACTTCTGTCCGATAAAAACTTCGTAATCGGGCTCCTGTCCATTATCCTCTTGCCCGACCGTAACCTCGCAGTCGGACTCCTGACCGATATCCTCTTGCCCGACCGCAACTTCGCAGTCGGGGTCCTGTCCGATATCCTCTTGCCCGACCGTAACTTCGCAGTCGGGGTCCTGTCCGATAGTCTCCTGCCCGACCGTAACTTCGCAGATCGGGTCTGTCTTTCCTTCTATGCCCGACTTGACCTCCGACCACATATCCTCCAGAATTCCTTTACATGCCCTTTGAGCCAATTCATCAGCACGTTGGTTTTCTTTCCTCGGAATGAACTCAATTATTACCTCTGA